TTTTTGCTTATTGTGGTTTAGTGGGAAATCCCCACTCAACTGCTAAAAAATATTTTTTGTTGCTCCCCTTCCAACGTCAACCAAGTTTTCTTTTGTTTGCTGCTGTGCCACACAGATCTGGCCAGGCGTTCTTGCTCGAGGTCCCGCTCCGGAGGACGACGAGGCATGGGCACCGTTGCCTTGGATGAGCCTCAGATCGCCAGTTGGTTAAAAAGACGGTTGGATGTTTTGGTTGGGTAAGCCAAGCCTCCATTAAAAGGGTTCTTCAAGCATATTTGTTTGCCTGAGATGGCACGGCCCGCCAATGTAACTTCCCTCAATCAGGACGTTTTCGCCTGAGATGGCATTGCCCAACCTGTGCGGCTAGCGCAAGCACCGGTGCTTCGCCTGAGGTAAGGGCAAGGGAAAGGCGTTCACCCAGCCGCGCGCAAAGACGGGAGCGAGAGAGGGGGCGCAACTTGCTGGTTCTCGGCGAATCAGCAGGTTGGGGAATGAAGCGGAACCTGATGATTCCCTTAACGGAAACAAGAAGGGTTGGGCTCAGGGGAGGGGGGCATCCGCTCATTCCCTGAGAACCAGCTCGCCGGAAGGGTTTCGGTCCACCAATGTCACCGTGAGCCAACTCAAGACAAACACGCCTGAGCTGGGCATCGGGCAGAGTCGATTCGAACATGCTTAAGATGAGTAGTCATGACTTAGGCCTTCCATATTATTTACCAGCCATAGTTCCGTAGATATATATATATATATATATTATAACCTGTATGTATAGTAAGATTCTAAACATGGACAACTTCCCAGGGTGAAGCTTTTTCAGCATGTCCAGACACCGAGGGGCTCCCAACATCTGAAGAATGTCCCCAAAGTCACGTAGGTCCTCGTTTTGAGATGCAAATCTTGGATCCTTTCTCGTCCTCAGCTGAGGCTCAGCCCGAAACGTTCCCGGCCAGCGCCCTGGAAGCCCAACGGCGCACGACGGAGTCGAGGTCATCTGATGCGGGAGCCAAGCACAGCAGATTGGTCCCTTGTGTGTTTCCAGTCGCCTTCTGTGTGTTTCCAGTCGCCTTTCTGCCCTTGGGTCGGAGCAAAGCTGAACAACGTGGAGAAAGTCATGGCCACCAGCACGAATTCCATAACTCATCCCAAACAAACTTCATCCTTGGCGAGCCCACTTTTTCGAAACACTGGCACAGTTGGACCAGGGCATATCGTGGTTTAGCGAACAGGGTGATGGTTTTTGCGCGAAAAGACATGTGCAGTGCATATTTCTACAAGTCGCTCGTGCGCCTTGCTCAGGTCCCGTGGTGACAGCCGCAAGCAGACGCGCAGGAGCCGACTGTGCTAAATCTGGACTCCGAGTCGGAACCTCTTTGAAGCTTGAGGTGGTTCGCAGTGCAAAAGTGGAGTCAGCAACCAACCTGCCTGGTTCCTTTGAGGTTGTTTCGGCGACGGTTTGTTTCGCGGAACCCAACCAACCAGCAGTATTAGGCCCGGGGCCAGAGGCTTTTGGGACAACACCCTCGACAAGGTTGCAGGAGAAGTGGAAGGATTCCTTGGCTGTTCTGAGCATCCGGGATTAGTTTAATGTTGACCCCGTATTTATCAACCGCAGTTTTTTTGTTAAATTCGAGGTGTCCCGGAGTGCAGTGGGGAATCATCACTTTTCTATTAGGAGGGGAACACCCCGATTAATAGACAGCTGGGGTTGATTACTATGGGGTCAACATTAGTATACTAAGTTATATGTATATATATATATATATATAATTATACAATGTGTTCCATGAGTTCAACTTGAACGACCAAAGATCAGCTGTCAAAACTAATTGGTGGTTTGTGTGGGTTTGGGTGTTCCCGTGGTTCACATAGCGCGGGCTTGGCAGCTGGCCGACCCCTTTCGCCAGGCGAAGCCGCTCGAAGCGCCGCAGCCGCTCCAAGCGACGGAGCCGCTCGAAGCGACGCAGCCGCTCCAAGCGAAGGCCAGGGTGTTGCCGTTTGTTGTTGTGGTTGTTGTTGTTGCCTTCTTGTTTTTTTGTTGTTGTTTTTTTTCCGTGTTTCTCGGTGTTTGTTGTACTTTCTAGTTGTTAGTTATCGCTTGGGAGGGGTTGCCCCTCAAAAGTCCAAAAGTCCAAACGTCCAAGGAACGATGTGTTCAATTCCAAGAAGGCCCCCTGTCCACGTTGCCATGGAACTTGACTGGGGAGGGTCCTAGTTTAATCCATGTTCCTTTAAAATGGGCCAGTTCTCTTTGGTGGGTGCGGTGCATGCCTGTCATATTGCAAGTACAAGTTTGAAAGCCTGTAATTCCAAACATTCGTGGTTGGTCTACTTGCAAGAGGGACATCTACCCGAAAGCAAACACCCAGTCCTCACGTCAGGAGCCCCTCCAAGCGTCGGAGCCCCTCCAAGCGTCGGAGCCGCTCCTCGCCCCGACGGGACCCAGAGCCAAGTCAGCCGAGCCCCGCGCAGAGTTCGGCCTTCGGCCGAGACCTCGGCAGCCTTGGGCTCTTTGCTTCGGCGTTGGGAGGGGATGGAGCTACCGTTAGCTTGACGCCTAACCCACTTTGAAGGACAGGATGTTTGACGAGTAGTTTGAACGGTTGATATTTACCTGTTCTTTCCAGCCCTAATTCTCCGCGTGTTTTTTTTGTTTCGGGTCATGTGTTGTTGCTTCGGCAAAATCCCGCCAATTGCCCTTAAAGGAACCAGCAGTGTGTTGATTCGACACATACTCCCTCAGTTGCTTGGGCTGGGCTGGGGGTATCACAGAGGCTTACTTGCTCCAAATAGCACTCCCATTCTGCGAGCGCAGCGCGTTGTGCGCAGCCGAAGATCTCGAGCCAGCTTTTGCCCTTTTCAACTGAGCGCCTAGGCAGGATCGGGCCCTTCACGTTCGCGGTTGAAACGCATCTTGGTGTGTGTGTGTGTGTTTTTCGAGGGTGCCTGTTGTTTTGTGGCTTTAAAGGGAAACCAAACGGAAACCAGGTATGTTGGGGTCCCGCAAAAAAGGCATACACATTTGGCAATGGTTCAACACCTATGGTACCTTTTTGGGCAAACTACCCATCCCAATAAAGACAAGTCTGTTCATTTCTGGGATGGGTAGTGGGATAACAGGGTTTTGAACCATAGCCATTTGAAGATACCGTGAGCTTCGATCTTTTTTGGAGGCTGCCCTTTCTGCAGTTGGCCCTACGGCGATTCAAAGGGAAGCCACCTGCCCCTATTTTGACATGTGTTGAACGGGCCAAAGCTTTTTACAAAAATAGGATAAAAAGAAAAATGTGCGTGTCAATTTGTGCTGTTTTTGAGAGGTAGTCCAAAACAGAGTCCCAGGAGTTTGGACACCCCCCCCAAGGAGGGTCCGAAAAGTTTTGACCATGCGGGCAGACATTTGGGTGTGTCTTTGTTTTAGGTTGGACCTAATTGAGGTGTCCTATGGGTTTTCATTTAAACCAACCCCAAAAACGGTAGCTCAACAAAAGGCAGACCCAATTGTGGTGACCTCACTTTCCAGGGCTTTCTGACTCATGGCGAAGTTTCCTTTGAACTATTCACCCTGAGACGTGGTTGCCAACGTGGCATTGAGGCCAATGCAGCAGACATGCCAGGAGTTTCCGAGTTGAGGCCTCCAAAAGCAGGGGTTCCTTACGTCGTGCTTGCCGTTCTTCTCTTTGTCCGATGGCTTGCATTTCAGAAGGGCCCCAGGTCAGCCTTATGGAGCGGATTGTATGGACCTTGCGCTTGATGTTCGACATGCTGCAAGCAGGCCAACCACGAGGGCAAGTGTCTGGCTTTTCCTTGATCCTCTGCAATACTCCCGGAATCAATCCAGCACGTGCATGTGTGTTTAGTCGCCACGCAGGCAATGTCCCGCGTTCTGCTTTTCCTTCAGCTGACGGCAATGCCGCCATGTTATTCACGGCTGGAGATTGGGGCAAGGAGATCGGGGATTTTCAAAGGCCAGGGATTTGCCATGTTGCTAAAGGGCAGAAGGCACTCGATCCGGATTGCGCGTTCAAATGTGGTGCAATATATTCATGACGTCTTGTCATGCAAGGTTGCCGCGCATGCCCCATTGCATTTCCATGAAATGACGTTAGGGCTGCATTGCCGAGATTGAAGACATATATTATATCATGATTAGAACGCTGGGAAAAGTAATGCTTGTGACAGTAAAGTATCTTGCGCTAGCAGGTGTTGCCGTGTTGCGCCTCAGGAACACCCATGGCTCTATTCCCTGAGTTGCATAGGCGGCATAGTGTACCAGCGTTTGCTTTGTACCGCCTGATGGTTGCTCATGTTGTTCAGTGGCCACCCAGGTATGAGCGCTCGGACGTGCCTTGCTCGAGGGCTATTCAGACATGAGTTGAATTGCACGGCAAGTAAACACCCAAGGTTCACCAAACCAACTGACTTTCGTCCAAAACCAACTGGCAGCCAACAACCCAACACTGGCGAAGCCATCCATTACCAGACACATCAAAGCACCTGGCAACCAACCCACCATCTCGGAACCACTGGACGATGTTTAAGCGGAGCCCCAAAAGACAGCCAACCATGTTTGTTGTTCAGTGGTTGGGGAAGACGGCCACGGTACCCTCGGCTTCTCATTCATCCTTTGGTTGCCAACCACTTTAGTTCCCCGTTTCGAAAATTGGAAACCACACCAAGTTCTTCCAGTTTGCATTTTCCAGATATTATTTCAGGCAACTCGAGATGAAGCACATGGTCCCTAGCCCAAGTGACCGTCCAACATCAGATCCTCCGCTGACCAGAGGGGTAATTTGGATTGTCGGCTAGGACGATGTTAACCAAAGCAGCGGTGAAAATCCCCAAGCCGCCGATGCAAATCACCAACTCGCCACTTTGGTCTCAAGAGGACCCTGGGGCCTCAACTGCCAGCCGAGTGGTGTGTTGAATCAAATAGCATACGCGATGGGGTCCTGTTGCTTTCAATTTGGGTGCGGGCTCAAAATTAAACAGGCGTGGTACTGGTTTTTTGAGCCGCAGCCATTTGCCTACGAGCGCCCTTCATGCGGTGCCATGTGGTGCTCGTCCTTGGAGCAGCTCACGCACTGCCGGGATCAGCGCTGCCACCCCGTCGTGGCCTACGGCAAGGCCATCTCAGCGGCTACCCTCAATATCTGGCAGGGGAGTATTGGGAGTACCCGTAAAACGTGGATTATAATACGTATGAATATGGACATATAAAGCACATATGAATAGGTATAATATACATATATACTAATAGTCATACTCAAAGTGTTCATGGCTATGGTTTGTACCTTAAAGAAAAGGTGGGGTTGCTCGTGGCTGTACAGCAGTTGTGCACCCCTTTGTCCGACCTGAGGTTAAGAAGATTGCATGGGTCATTGGTGCGGGCCGAGCCTTTGTGTGGACGGAGAGAGGGAAAGCCATACAGACGACTACTAGGCAGCTTCCATTTGCTTAAGAATGTGTTGTATATTTCCCTAAATGGAACCTATGACTGCGAACAGCAAATGTTGCAAGAGTTCCAAAAGGAGTGTCCTGGTGTGGCAATTCCTTAGATTGGAAGATGATGGAAGGCTTCAGAGTTGCAGTTCTCAAGGTTTCACCAGTCAGGAGAGTCCAATGAAGGTCGCAGCCGGCTTTGTCTTTGTCCCTCGAACAACTCGCGGGGTCAACCTCCGTGGTCGCCAGTAGGTCGGTTCGGGGGAGGGGAAGCCGAGCGCTGTGCTCGAGACCAAGCTTCGTGGCCCCAGTCTTTCCACGGATTCTTCTTTCCAGAACACCCCAAAAAACGCAGAAAGGGCTGGTGCCCCCCCAAAAAACAAAGGAGAGGGCTAAAACAAGGAGAAAGGGCTGGTGTTGGAAAAGAACAGTGGCGGAGACAGAAAGGCGGATCAAGCCCTACCCTGTTCCGAGGCTCAAAAGCAGAGCGCCGACTGGCAACTGGCATTGGCCCTGCTCGACGAACTTTCGGTGAAGACATTGCAAGGCCCGGGTCACGTCTCATCGCGGAAGCATCGTTGTTTGGGTATATGAATATGACTTTGAATGGGGAACACCATGAAAAAGAAACTGTTGGTGGACAGAATTTCCATTTTGGTGATGTCCACCACAGGCGTTCCAATTGAAACAGTGGCCATGTGTCAAAACAAGAGACCTTCAAATGGATTGATTTTGACAGAACGATGATGTTCAAAGTCCTCATGGCCCGACCGGTATCCTTGTGCTTGCTGCCTTTGTCTTTGATTGTTTGAGTCAGTGCCTCTGGGGGGATGGCAGACCAGGGTTCGTTGTACTCTCCACAGAGAGTGCCCAACTTTCCGAAGTGACCTATGTGCGACCAGGGGGAACTAAACAAACATGGGGGAAGTGTGGCATCTACTTTCACTCAGGTGTACTTGAGGGGAACGAGTTGGTTTGGAACGGGCTACTTGTGGACCCCTCAGCGACTCATCACCCAACCAGCAGGGGCCCTGGCCGCAATGTCTTGGCTGCACTCGAAAGCCAAGCAGGCACTCACAATTTACCAATCTTGTGGCCGCCCCGCGACACCTTGCCGAAGACAAGCCCCAACACAAATCCCGAAGTTTCCTTCACCAAGTCTCATGTGCAAGCGCGGGGGTTTCGCATCTTGACATCCTTTCAGCTTCAAGACGAAAACACTCCCCTCGCTTTGAGGGGCCCTTGGCACATCCAACGAGTGCAACCCCCAAAAAGGTAAAGTTTGAGGGCTCCATCAAGAAGCTCTCCAGGAACTCCACGGGTAATGTTGACCCAGGATTAACAAACCCGTCCAATTATTAGGGGGTGTTCCCTCCAAAAGTGATGAATCCCCACTAAAAGGGGACACCCCCCAGTCAAATCATTAAACCCTCAGCCGACGTTTCTTCGCCAGGCAACGCGGTGGTTTCGGGCGCCACCGCCCACGCGCTTTCCGGCGCGTCCGCTTCGTCCGGCGGTTCGGGCGCTTCCGGCGGCTGGGGCCGACAGCTGGGGCTGCTGACGGAGATGCGGCAAAGCGGCTTCGAGAGCAGCGCCGGGGGCCCCTGTGGGTGCCCATAGGGCGTTTGCCAATGCAGGATTTTCTGCACTCAAAAACCTGAGTTCATGCACTTTAAGCTTTTTGGGACTGGACCAGTTCAGTGGTAAGCAAGAAGTTTGGAGGTTTTTTGGGCCCATCCACTCAGGAAGTGAGCAAAGCGGGTACCGTCGAAAGAAGGCGCAGCCTAATTTGCTTCCTTTCGTCGTGTTCGATGGCGTTCCCAGGTTTCAGGGCTCTGCGCGCTAAGAATTCATGGGAAGCTGGGCGTCCCATTCTGTGAAGGAAGCCAAGGTTCGTGGTCCTTGTAGGACACTCCCTCAGGCTGGGCTGTTAGGCAAGTCTTGTTCCTTCCCTTCCAGTATCTGGGCCCATGTGTGGCTTCCCAATAAGTCATAGAACCAACTCTTTGATTTGAAGAGCCCAGCCAAAGGAAAGTGGAGGTGAATACTCAATGCGCGATTACAAGGAGGATCACCGGATTTGAACACCCTGGCCATGGTTTCAACCGATTTGTTGGCCTGCCTTGATTGTGTTATTGCTTGGCGCGGCTGTTTGCTTTGGACACCCAAATGCAGTTGCTCCAGATTTGGGCGTTGAAGATGAACAAGGATAGTCCCTTGAGAGTGACTGCAGTTCACACAGATAACTGCTGGCAAAATATCGCGACAGGTTCCATTAGGCAAATTAGCAAATAGCAACATCTCCATCACTGCCCTAGGGCCATTGGCAGTTGTTAAAGCGAAAGGCAGAGCATCTTCTATGGTTCGTTTCATGTTTTGCTCCCCTCTGCGGCCCCAAGGCCCTGTTTTGTTTACACTGCCTGCCATGTATTTCAGGTAACCGTTTGTTGGTGGGTAAATGGCAAACCACCAAACCACCAAACCACAAATCCACCAATCCACCAATCCACCAATCCACCAAACCACCAAACCACCAAACCACCAAACCACCAAACCACCAAACCACCAAACCACCACTCCAAACCGACTATTGTCACCCCACCGCTCAGTTTCCTCGTGTCTGAGGTCATCGCCTGCAGCTCGGTGACCGACTGGCGCCGCTGCGCAGAGCTGCTCGGGGAAGTGAGCCGCGGCACGCTGCCCTCCGGACCGCAAAGTGAATTGATCTGGCAATGGGGTCCTGCTCCAAAGGGGAGGGACTTCTTCTGAAACTATCTTGATTCCCTGAAGGAAAGTCGTTTGGGCACTGGACTCGGTTCGGCATCGGATTGGATCCCTCCCATTGGTTTTGACCCACAGCCATCTGGCGCCGGGTGGTTTACAACGCCCCATTTCACAAGTTTCCGGTGGGCGTGAACATTTATTTTCTTGCTATTCCAGCCAACAGTGGCGAACATTCCTAGTTGGCCACTGGCACGCTTGAAGACTCTTTTGTTCCGTTTGGTTTTGGGGGGCAGCATTTCCTTCATTGAACCAGCAAAGAAAGTCACTTGTTTTGGATGGCCACTTGGCAACTCAAGCATGGCAGCGAAGAAAGCGTTTGGTTTTTCTCCCTTGTGCCCTGACTCGGGGCCCTGTCCGATTGGCGGGTCTTTGGCCCACTTTCGGTAAACGTATCCCCTGGTCTGCAAGCCAACCACTGCCACCGCGCATGGCCTCATCCATGGGTTGCGAGTTATTCTAGTTCACCCCGGTGTTTGGACAAGCTACCACTTTGTTTGGGAGAGAGGTTTACCGTCGCATTGCTCAGGGTGCCGTCAGAGATGTGGTTCGAGCCTTACGCTTCCCAGTCGTCTTTTTTCATCTGGCTTGGGAAAACTTTGCTGGTGCTCGGTACGGCTCATTCGGGAACGAACCGGAAGGGGATTCCCTCAAAAAGGAAACCACCAGTTGCATGGTAGGTTTTTCCTAGATGGCCATGTGCCATTTCTCAGGTCCCCTGCATCTCTCGCAGGAGCAAAGAAGTGGAACCACCAGTTGGATGGTTCTTTTTGACTTGGTCATTGTCCATTTCTCAGGGCCGCATCCTTCACACCAGCCAGGAAATCACCAGTTGGATGGTTTGTACAAGGGTCATTCCATTCGCCACCAGATGGATGGATTCCCCGCCTATCCCACCAAGCCTTGAGGCGCCTGGACAGCGCCGCCTTCAACGCCTCGCTGCCGAAGGTCCAGTGGCGCAGGGCGCGGCACTACCTTCAAGCCCTGGCTGCGGCAGGCCGAGCCGAGGTTCGCAGAATCCTCCCGAAAATCGCCTAGGACCCCCAGTGGTGCCCTTTCTCACCCCTTTTTGGGGGAGGGTTCCCCTAGAAAAATAGAGTACAGAAGAAAAGGGTACCCTTATTCTAGCCTCCTACTGGAGGACCTAGTAGCTGCTTTCATTTGGGGTTGTCCCTTGAAACGTGAACCAAAAAAGGGCTTCTAACATGATAGGTGTCCTTTTGGTTTCCCTCAAACACCAATCAAACAGGATTTGAAATGATGGCTTGTATTCTTGGTGTCCCTCAAGAAAAGGCAACAAAAAGGACCAAAGGACCAAACAAGTCCAGCATGTTGATTAATTAAACCATGCACATGGGAAATCCAAGACAACCATGAACATAGGAAATCCAAATGTCTTTATTAGCCAGAGACGCTTTTCGTTGCCAAACGTTCAGGCAGGAAAAGGTGTCCCCTATGATACAGTTGGGTAATTGACCGTGGGTTGCTTTTAGGCGCCTGGCTATTATTTATGGAACTATGCGTATCCTGGCAGGGGATGGAGCTATTAGGCACGCCCCATGGCAGCGGTGTGCGTTGTTTTACTCACAACTGTCAACGTAATTTGTTCCCCTCAGGTGTTGATAGCTATTGGAAGAGGAACGGTGTTTATGCCATGTACATCAACAGCTGCCCGTGCACAGAATGTTCTGTATTGGTTGTCCTGCACAGAATGTCCCAGGCGCTCGGGGCGTGGCCCAAGCAATCATTTGCCACAATATTAAGCCACTGTTATACATATAATATATATATATATACACGTATTCATACATCTGCAATATGAATTATATATATATATGTATATATATACATACATCGGCAATATGAAGTGTATATATATATATGTACATATATGATATATACATGTATATGTATATATACATACATCAGCAATATGAATTATACATATATACATACATCTGCAAAAATAATTATATATATATACATACATCTGCAATATGAATTGTATGTATATATATACACATACATCTGCAATATGAGTTATATATGTATATGTATATATATATATATACATACATCTGCAATATGAATGCGTTGGCCCTAGAGTTTGGGACCATTGGAAATAGAAAGTACACCCAAAATGGTACATGTTTGGGGAGGCAGCAGTCGGCGTTCAACCGAGCATATTGACAGGGGAGAATCGTTCCCTGGCTTTGTGAGTTGTCCGCAGCGCCAGGCTTGGGAAACCGCACCACGCGCAATATTTGCGCTGCAGCGCGGTGGACTGACGCTCTTCTCCTCGCGGAGGATGGGCATGCAGGGTGGCTAGTGCTGACACACTTGTCATATTAGTGCTGCCCCAGACTGGTGCCACTTCTGGCAACCGTAGAACCTGTCATGTCCAGAGTTTCTTGTCAGGGATAGACCGCGTTCGAAGGGCTTTGCAGGATTGCCTCTCCCAAATTCCCTTGCATTGGAGGGGGTTTGCAGGCTTCCCAAGTTCCCGAAACGACTCTGACACGGACCGAGGCACATGTCAACCGTGACGTCAGGACCTGGTGGGCCACAGCAACGCCGTCGCCGGCGCTTCCTGGGCCGTGGCGCAACAACTGCTGGGACACCTCCAGGAAAATCCTTGGCGTGGAAAGTAGCCCTGTGGATGGTTGCGGAATCCATTTCGCATCACTTTGAAACCATGGCAAACTCTAACGTTTGTTGGTATTTTCAAGGAAATCATCAGAAACCAGGCTTTCTTAGGTGGTGCTGGATTTTGTCCGTTCACAGTCTTGTTAGCTTTCCCCTGTAGGAACACCCCTAAGCGCATGGGCATTCTTTGCGGTTGTTCATTGAAGATGGCGCTCAAAGCCAGAATTTGGTATTTGGGTGTCTTCGCAAAACCACGGTGTGGGAAAGGCCATTTCAACATGAGCGTCCGTTTGGTGAGAAACAAAGCATGGAACTCGAGGGAGCCCGGTCAACTTCTTCGTTTTTTAGGGGGGGGACTTCAATCCCTCCAGTTGTAGCAGCCGATGTGCACAGAAATACTCCTAATAGCACTAGAATACTCATGTTCAAACCAGCCTCGCGTGTTGCACCGTTATGGCTCTATGTCCATGAGTTCTACTTCTTCGGGGGGACTTTAAGGGCGCCGCCAAGTTATGCTTCGCACTTGAACAGTCGTGGAGGGATTTCCGTACGAGCCGCGATACGTTCTTTGTGAAGCCAAGGTAAGAGTTGCACATGCGTTTGTTGTTTTGCGCAAAACTGACGCTCACTTCACAAAGATGTGAGTTTTGAATGCATGCAATATTATTTACATATATGTATACAGAGTACGAGGGCGCCGGCCAAGAATCGATCACAAGGAGTCGCTGCAGCCTGACCTCATTGTTTACAACGCCACCATCTCCGCGTGTGGGCAACATGCACGTTGGAGAGAGGCTGTGCACTGGTTGCGCCTTGATGGACTTACGTTTCATCGTTTGGGCGTGTCATTTTTTAAGGGTGTAGCCTTGGGTGGTTTAAAGGGAAGCTAAGAGGAAGCATCAATAAAAGCAGAGACACATATACCAGTGGAATCTATCAACTTTTTGGTTTTTCAGGTTTAGTACAAGTTTCCACTTCACCCACAAGTTCTTCACTTTTGCCAGGGAAACATTTTGAAAACAGACCTTACATCTCAGACGTTGTTCTCTTTTCCTCCGCCCGAAGCGACGTTTCCCGGCCCAAGCGCCGCGAAAGCGTCGCCCCAGGCAGTCGCTGCCGCGGCGTAACCTCCGCGCCTCCGACGCCTCGCTGGGCGCTTTCGCCTCGGCGGTGCCCTGGGCCCGGGCGCTGGCGCTGGGGGCGCGGCAGCGGCTGCCGCTGGCGGCGCTGGGGGCAGCGCTCGGGACGCGCCGCGGCCGAAACCCATGGCCCCCATTTGTCTTGAAATCGGAAACCCCCCGAAAATGGAAACTCCGGTTGCTTCCTTGTTTGTTCCCGATTGATGGTTTTCCGCGGGCCAGTGCCCCACCAGTCGCCAGTCGACCGCCAGCCCGTCTGCCCACAGCCCGTGAGCGCACCAGCGAACCGGGCCTGTCCCTTTTTTGAGTTGGTACCCCCCCAACATGGCTGTGTTCCTTTTGGTTTGCCTTTCAACAAAAACCAAAAGGGAACATGTCCAACTCTCAGACTGATTCCGAGCAAACTCCAAGGCCAGCGAAACTTCAGAGCTACCCTGAGTAACGCCAATAAAACCTGAGGGCAGTGAAGGCATTGCCTTGTGCAAACGGAAACCCCTCGTGGTCGAGAGCTTGGTTCACCAAGCCAGGCTTCAAACAGCAGTCTTAGAAGCTCTTGATACCACTTCGTTGACACCAATGATTGCCCCTTTGCCTCTGTGGATCGGTGCATCCAGAGCAGACACTGGATGACACATGGACTTTGGATTTGAGCCATGCAATTTCCCAGATCCATGCTCTCATGCCGCAAGCCCATTTGTGTTAAGCTTGGCAATGCGAGGCGGCGTTGGGAACTTGGAGTTGTAATCAAGACAGTTGTGAATGATTGAAAGCTGGATTGCAGGTTTTGATGCGTCCAGCTTGCCGGTGTCACTTCCTGTGATTCAAGAGACAGACTAAAGGTTTTATCTCCAAGTCTTTGTTAAGGTTATTTTGTACGTGTGCTTCTTTTTGGTCCAGTGCTTCGTTTTGATCTGCAGAAAAGCGAGGACATGACGTACCAATGCATTGGATTGCTGGCGCCACGTTTAGGTCCCGGCGGGTAGTGGTTTTCTTGTTGGTGCCCCTGACTCAACCAACCTGAAAAGGGTTCCTCCAAAGAGAAGCACACACACACATGCTTTCACTTACACACACACATGCACATGCACATGCGCATGCATGTCCACACACACACATGCCCGTGTTGGATCTTTTTAAGCGACCGATCCAGAACAGGTTGGCCTTTTGTTGTTCTTGTGGGCGGTGAATTGACGTGCAGTTTAGCTGCCACAAGTTCAAGATCAACGTGGCCCAAGATTACGACTGAGGTGCGTGAGGAGCGATAGCTGGGAGCAGGCGCTTTTGATGCACTCGCAGCTGCGTGAGACATTGCAAGGGAATTTGCCCGGGGCCCCAGCCCCATTCTACTGCCACGAACATCTGCAGGGAGCCTCCTGGGGGACTTGTTGCTTTGTTTTCAGGTACATCATTCTGAAGCGGCTCCTTGGCTTGTCACTGCATAAAGATGACGGACATGCAGGCCGTCAGAAGTTCAGGTCGTTAAGCCTGGAACGGGCAGGAAACCGTTGATCAGTCCAAAAGATGTTCTAGTTCCCATTTCTCTCACGGGTGGGCAGAAGCCATAGCGCCATAGCGTTGAAGAAGAGCACGACCTGTTTGATCAGCTTGTCGAACACGCAAGTGAGGAGTATGCTGACCCCGCAATCCTTCACGCATCAGATTTGCTGGCTGCGGGGCCAGCCATGAGGTGGGTGTGTTTGAACACGAAAACCTTCGTTGCCAAGCAAACTGGGATCGGTTTTTGCCCCATTTTCTTTTCGCAAGCTCAATTTCAGTGAGGCTGACCTACAACTCTGCTGTGAGCGCCTGTGAAGAGGGCGGCAACTGGGAATTGGCCTTGGCGCTGATGGCAGAGATGCAGGACTGCTCGCGCGCTTGCGCGCGCGCGAGATCGCTTGATGGGGACCACCAAAAGCAGGGCGGCGGAAGTCTTTTGGGGGATGTGGTTGAGGTTTGGGCTCTTCACGACAATCTTTAGACATGGTTTCCGTTTGGTTGGTGTTTCATGGTAAAAGGGCAAGAGCCATCTTAGTTTTGAGAAACACCCGTAGGTTGAAGCTTGCTACACATTTATAGCAGCGCCATCTATCAGGTAAGTGCTTCGGATTGGTTCAGAACGCCTTCTTGCTTGGGGCTTGTTGAGGTTCCTATCCACCTCACCTCCAAGCCACTGGCTCGGCTCCGCATGAAAACTCCTTAGCGTCGAGCCGGAACGAGACACGACACCTGGTCGCTGGGAGCTTCCGCGGGGATCATGAAAGCTGGTGTGCTTGTTGGTGCATTGAACTGGAACCAGTTCCGCTGGGTTTGGTTCGGGGGTCTTGATTCAAAACGAGCGGACATTGGGCGACAGTTTCAAAGAACCGACAGGAAGCCGACGACTTGGCGGTTTTCGGGAAGACCTCATGGAAACACCGTTGGCCTCTGGCCGCTTCATGTCTTGATTTGGGCAACGGTCTTCGACAAATGTTCCAACCAGTGGCTAAAAGGCAGGGGGCGCTCACCTTGGGCCACGTTGCAAAGTGATAAGAACATATAAAATCATTGACCCCAGCGTAAACCTCACAGATGAATAGGGAGGTTTGCAAAGATTGAGGAATGAATCCCTGCATTCGTTTCAAGAGCTCACTTCCAAGGGTTGACTTGATGTAACGTGAAGGAATTGCGCCCACAACATAGTGCCGGCTGTGTTTTGCTCGTTCATATCCAAAAGAGGGTATCCGATTTTGAGACAGAAGCATTTGACTCGCTTCCCGGTATTATTTGTGCTTCTTCAGGTCCCCCCTTTTATTGCCAGGACATGAGTGATTCCTGTAGTAGGGAGCCTTTTGTTGCATGGGTTTAGTGGAGAACAAAGGACACTCCACCTAGATCGTTGTTAAGAGCACATTGGCGCCGGCGCTTTTTCCCACAGGAAGTGGTACTGCGGATGGATATCATCACCTACAATTCTGCCATCAGCGCAGCTGAGAAGTGTGGCAGATGGCAGGAGAGGGTCACTGTGTCACTCCCGTCGCCTTGGCTCAAGCTCGAAATGAGCGCCAGTCAATCGCTCCAAGGGGCCCGAAAAGTTCGAGGATGTGGATGAAGACTACCGCCCCGCTGCCCCTCCCCCCCACGTTGGGCCGAAAAGTCGGCGTGAAGCCGCTCCAGGAGGCCGTGGCGCTCTTGTCGGAGCTCCGGGGGAAGGAGCTTCGAGGCAGGCTTGGGCTGGCTGGGGGCTGGCGGCGTACAAATACAGCAGGTGATACTGTGGAGAAACGAAATCCTGCACCACCTAAAACACCTTACGGTGATGTAGTCTTTGGTTCCATTTACCAAGGGGCATTTTTTTTGGTGCTATGTTTTGGAGCTGCAGCCAGCTATTGTTTTGGTACTTGCAGTGGTTGGGACTGTTGACTTGGGAATTGGAACCCCAAGGTTGTTTTTGGGGGGTAGATTGGAATCCGCGAAGCTGATATCAGGTTAGATCTTTGACGTTCTCTGGAGTGGGAAGATGAGTGTTTCCCACCAATCTGCTGAGGCTTGCTTGGATCGGGATGTGCTTTATGCACCTTACCAGGGCAGTGCTCATCCAGTCCGGACGAGGCTCAAAGCCCTGACTCAGCAAAACCATGGCGATGCACCACCCCCTCTTCGGTTGGCGATGCACCGTGAACTCAGAAGCATTTGGATCTTCGGTGTTGGGGTGGCCGCGTGCAGCACCGTCTCAGGAGCGTCCCACATGGCCCCAAAGGAATGGTAACCAGCCCATGGTCTTTGTTGAGACTCCAAGGCAGCAGCACGCGTGTGATTCGGTAAGCCTGGCACTTGCTCCTGATGTATGCTAGCGCACCTCCAGGCCGTTCTGTGGCAACCTGCAGGGCTCCAGCGAATGCCTGGTGACCTCATTCACGAAGCGTGGCCCCATCTCTGGTCCAACATGCATCTATCATGGCTTTCCACATCTTCGTTGCGTCTGGCTGCAACAGCGCTATGGTCTGAATAAACTTAGGCGGCCACAAACTGCCTCATGACATTGGCCAGGGTCCCTTTTTTTCTCCACGTCAAACGCGAAACTCGCGCAGGCGACGTGGTCACCTACAGCAGCGCGATGAAGGCCTGCGGCCACCGATGGCAGCTGGCTTTGTCCCTCATGGCCCGGGCCCCGTTTTGGTTGGATTCGGAGAAGTTTGGAGTCCGGGAAAGGGCAAAGCGGCGCAGCATCAAAAAAACAACGCACAGCAAAGCGGCAAACGCATACACAAAACACCAAAACATGAACGCACGATCACACAAATACCGGAACACGTGAACACACACACACACACACACAAACGCGCGCGCGCGCGCGCTCGCATGCGCATGCGCATGCGCATGCACATGCACTCGACATACACAGAAACACGCGGAGCAAACCGTACAAACACGTGCACAAACACCCACACACATTTAGATTGTGTATTAGTTTTGATACATACATAAACGACCGCACGCAAAATCTCACACGCGGGCAAACACACGCGCACAACACACACACACACACATGTACGAACACTCACACGCACGCATGCAAGGTGTACAAACGGCACACGTGCGCGCAAATACAATCACCTCAGCAAGCACAAACTGATTGAAATCACGCATGCACACAGCAAAGCACAAGAACTCGCAAACCACTTTTCCATCAACAAAAGCAACATGCGCTTTCATCCTGCGCGCACGCATCGTGCACCCAGGAAGAGCTGGCGGAGCCGAACGCCATCGCCTGCGCGTTGGCGGTGGCTGCCTGTTGTCGCGGGAACCTTCGTGGCGCCTGCCTGCTGCGCCTCGTGCAGCTGCAGCGCCTGGGCACCCGGGCGCTCGCCAAAAGAAAAAGCGGCGCGGTGGACACGGACGGAGCAGGGGGTTCTGCGCCAAAAGGAGCCAAGAACACTTCGGAGCAATGGAAACAAGCTGGAAACAGAGCCAGGAACGGCTCTTCCAGATATTTTGGACAGTAGGTGTTGATTCATTGCACCTGCAGAATGTGGGAAATGGAAGCTCCACTCAGCGACGGCGGGGAAACCGAAACTGCTCCAAGGCTTCCATTCCAAACCAAACAGCTTTGAATTTTGCCACTGGTTCTCTGCCAGGGTAAGCTTTCAACTATCAGGTAGCCATTCAGAATGGAAATTCAGGAGACATGGATCGAGGGCTCGCAGCGTGGGTCGGCGCCATCCGAGCCATGGATGCGTTCCGAGTGGCAGACGGGCCTCGCCGCGCTCACGAGCCAATGCGCCCAGCGGTCAGAGGCTGGCCATGTTGCGCGACACATTTAGGGTGGGATGAGCCAAACACCCAGGCACGTTTATAGCCTTGGTTCCACTGGTCTTATGCCTGCTGAGTAATTAACGGCCTGCAGCCCTTCAGCTTTGTTTACTAACGGCCAAGCGGCATTTCTGGGCCCCCCAAGGCTGGTCTGTGTTTCTCGGGGCAACTATTTGCTTAGTCATGTTGTGTTCAAAGGGAAGCCAAAGAGCAACGCGTCTTTCTCTGTTTGTTTCTTGGGGGGGTGTCCCCTATTTTTGGCACGAGGTCCAAAGCTCCTACAACAAGGCCATCACAGCATGCCGCGGTGATCATTGGCAACATGCCCTGGTAGTCAGGCTCCGGGTGTGTCGATCTGGCGGGGTTGCTTTCCGTCGCACTGAGCTGGCCAGCGTTCCATTTCATCACGGCCATGTGGCGATCCAGCAGACCACGATACTCGACAAAAACAGCCCAGAGCCCACGCGCGGAAACGGTTTCAAGGCGGTTTCCTCTGCAGAAGCTCGGAAGGACTGGGAAGTCTAACTTCCAAGAACTAAACAGGAGCGCCCGGTTCACAGCCAAAGGGTAGGTACCCTCAAGAGGGAGATGCCCCAATTGCAGAACTGCAAGGCTCTGGCGGCACCTCCCAGCGGTTGGTGCTGTAGAGCCATTGCTAGCGCATGCAGAGACACCCTCGCGGACCCGCGAAAGCCAACGGAACCGCGGAAGCATTTTGAAGCAGAGGCTCGCGGAAGGTGCCCTTGGGGGCGCGCAAGCCACACGGAAGGTGGTGCGGAACCTATCAGAATGTCAAGAGGACATTGCGGCAACTCAGAACACCGCTCAGCTGTTCAGGCACTCTGCTGCAAATGGAGAAAACGCAAAAAAAACATGGGGAAAGCGAGCCGTGATCGAAAGCTGGGCGAATGATGCTTGCGAGGGGCATGCCTTGCTATGAATAGCTCCGGCAAGATGCCCTTCGGATTATTTTCCGCGAAGTTGTTTGGGTAAACCAGGAAGACCCCTCGATTACCAAACTATGACTTGCTAATGATGCACTCTTAACCCATCCAAACCTCTTTGAGGAGCAAGCCCCAGCTTCTTTTGGAGGTTCTCTTCTTTGGGCGTGTCCAACAGAGTCCCCCAAAAAAGGATGTTTAAAAGCGAGACGACAGAAAAGCCGAGGATTTCCGGGTTCCCCCTGGAGAAAGGGCACACTCATTCAGTGATTCAGAGCGAGGCGGCGATTGGAGTTCCTCGGGGACATTGACATTGTCAGCGACAACGCGGGACTCAGCGTGCTCCGTGCCGCGGGCAAGTGGGTCATCTCCCTGCAGCTGCTGGCAACGACACAACTCCGCCGCTTAAGTGCCCGGACGTTCAATGGGACGGGGAAAACCATGCGGGGGTTTGGGACGCTCGTGGGATTGCGTGGCACTTAAAAAGGGTTCCGGGTTCAGAAAAGTGTCCGTAGTTTCGACATACGCCGCCCCAATGTCAAGGAGAGACAATTTCGAGCATATGTTCGAGGACAAATATAATATTTTGAAAACAAATAGGGACTGTATAATCATTTTTCAATGTTATTTTGGAATTGATAATTTTAATGTTGAATTTGAAACGGATACTAATAGAGCCAGAATGCAGTTGTTGTTCAAAGCAACCCCCCAACAGGGTACCAACTTCAACAAGACTGCTCGTGCGGTGACTGTGGAGTAGGATGCAAAATCCGCACATCTTGAATAGCTGCTTAGCTTTGTTTCAGGCGTCGCCTCCACTTTTTGCCAGTGCACAGGTTTCGGCGCGGAGGGAAACCTTGGATGCCCTAGAAAACCGCGTGGCGTCGAATTTGGAGTGGCTAAAGTTCAGCATCTCTTGGTTCAGATGGGCATTCTTCTCATGCGTATGAGTCAGAACAAGCTCTAACCTGCAGGCTCAGGAGTCGGCAATGTGGGATTACCCTTGCTTCTGAATTCTGGAATTGAGGTTGATTTGTGGTTGTTCATGGAATTATGTGCGGTTTGGAATCTTTCTTGTTTAGGATCGCTTTGTGCGAGTTATAGCTCGTTTGGTCTATCTTGCTGATTTCAAAACGGATTTCTGAATGCTTGGTGAATTTCAACAATGCAGGTTGGAATTGCCTCCCCTTTTGCCGCATATTCCTCTTTCGTGGTTTTAAAGGGACGCCAAAGGGAAAACCGCTTTGTTTTCGCGGGGGTCCCAAGGAAAGTCGCCAGTTTGGGTTTTTCAAAGGGACGCCAAAAGGAAAACCACGTCTTCTTCGTTTTTTTGTGGGGGGCGGCTGGTGGGTCCCTTTAAAGACAGACACCTCTAGGGGTTGCTTCCCCATTCTTTTCAAGCATCGTTCTTTTCAAGAACCAGCTATTTTCCCAGGGTTTTTGGTGGTTTTCCAGAAAGAAGGATCCCAGGGTTTCCCAGCGGTGTTGGGTAGTCTTCTACCAGTGGTTTTGGAAGGATCCCTGGAAGTGGAAATGGAAGCTGCCCCTTCGAAAAATGGTCCAAACCAGAAACCCCCGAACGCCGATCGGTTCCATGCTAATTGGGTGGGAGGCTACCCCTTTGTAGGTGGGGGAATGTCTTAGGCTGCTGATGCAAATGTGAGCACAGGCGGACAAACACCAGCCGAGCCACATTCTTGGGGCCTCAAAAATGGGTAGCCACCCATGCCACCCCCCCAAAAAATGGGGCTACCCCAAAATCACCCCCCAAAAATCGGCACCCTCCAAGTCCCATGCCACCCCACCCCACGCCCATGGCCCGTGGCCCATGGCCCATGAGGCCCCAGCATCGTGAGCTTCAGCTCCAGCGGCGGGGCCTGGGCCCTGGGCGCCGCGCTGCTCGAGGAGGCGGAGAAGCGCCACCTGCGCCTGGACGCGCGGGCGCTGCAAGGCGGGGAGGTTTTTGCTGGTGGTGTTCTCGTTTTGTTTGTTTGTTTGTTTGTTGTTTTGTGTGTTTTTGGGGTTTGGGGGGTGGTTTGGGGGGCGGGGGTTGGTTTGGTTTGGGGGGGTGGTTTGGTGGTTTTGGGGGGGCTGTTTTTTCTTGCTGGTTCTTAGGGAATGAGTGGTTGTCAGGGATTGCTTGTTGCTGGTTTTGGAAATGAGTTCCGTGATATGTTATAGACAAGTCATAGATATATGTTTTGGGGGCTGGTTTGGCGGCTTGGGGGGTTGTTTTCTGCTGGTTCTCAGGGAATGAGTGGTTTCCGTTCGCGGGATCTCTAGATTCATGCCCAAACCTGGGATTCCCTACTGAGCGCCAGCAAGTTTTTGTGCGGGGGCACAGATACGGAATCTGGCTCCCAAACCCAGAGACCTCCAGTGGACATGGGGAAAAAAGGAGGCCCATTGGTGTTTTTTGTCGCGGCGATTTCAAGAGCAGCACCTCTTCAATCAAGTTGAAAAAGGTCATGGACAACCTCCAAACAACATGTCGGGGTTCCATTTGGCCTTACCGAACACGTCCGTCTCCCTGTCAGAACCGTGGAGCCCCAGCACCAATGGCAGAAGAGAACTATTGGGCCTCCACCTTAGTGCCACCAAGACCCAGGGGATACAGTCAGCGTTGCATCGGGAACTTTGAGCTTCCACTTCTAGGTCCCCCAGTGCCCTTTCTCACCCCTTTTTTGGGGGAGGGGTCCCCTACTAAAATACACTGCAGCAAAAAGGGTCCGTAGACTCAAATGCCTCCCCCAAAAAAAAGGAACGCAGTCAACGGGTGTGTCTTCACGCCAGGCGGCCGGTGGCAGCAGATCCTCCAATCCCTAGACCTGCTGCAGCCCAACAGGACCAGAAAATCCCGGCGTCGCTGTTGGGTTGGAAGGGCTGCTTTCAGTTTGGGTGGCGTGTTGTTTGCTCGGCTTGCTATTTGGATTGTTTGCGTGCTTGTGTGTGTGTGTTTTGTTTCTCGCTTGCTCGCTTGCTTGTGCGCTTGCTTGTTTTCTCGTGGTGATCTTTGAAAACAACAAAGAAACATAGTACTGGGAGGCTAAATGGTTTCCGGCATTCTTTACCTTCGTGGCTTAAATCGTTCTTGAAGTACCTCGCGCAACCATATGTCGCTTCGAACCTCCAAACCATCACTAAAAGAGTAGACCATTGCTCATGGGTCCAAAACGTGTGGCTTTGGGGCCGTGCACGTTTCTTCCCTCGTCCCTCGTCTCGCGGTGGATTCGGTGCGTGGGTCGCTGTCGGGTAGGTTCTTGTTCAGCGCCGCCATGGGCTCTGACTGGGGTCGGTCTCTTCTGCTGCTCAGGCGCCTGGAGGAGTGGTTGGGAGCTCGGGGCTTTGGTCACCGTATTCGGGAAGAGAGCCGATGACGAGCAGAAGAGCAGAAGAGCAACTAGGTCCCACAGTAGTGCCCCTTTACAATTTTTTTTGAAAAAGAAATCCCCCCTACTAAGATAGACGACAGCAAAAAGGGTACCCTCATTCTAAGCTCTCTACTGGAGGACCTAGGCAAAGAGTTGTTGATTCTAGGTTCTTGAAGTCGGTTCTCCTTCGATATGACGTGGCGCCTGCAGGGCTTCGTCCATTTGAAGTTTCCGGCAGGAATGGTCTGTGGGGCTGACCGTGTGGATCGCGTGCGAGACAGCAATCAGGAGGTTTCCCTTGCCAACTTCAACCTCTTTGGAACATGACGGCTTCCCTGGCCAGTTCGGGCTTGGTTCTCATGTCTCCCTTCCTGGGTGGGTTGCACATCACCCTTTGGTCCAAGTTTGGGGGTTCTTTGGGGCGCATTGAGCAAGTCAGAACAACCTCAGCTTTTGACAGGGGGGCCTGTGGGCCTTTCTGAGAAAGGATTTGTTCTTGCTTAATTTGAAGTTGGTGAATATATCAGGTATATTATCATGTATTATCAGTAGTTCCCCCACATGCATCGAATATCAGACCTTGATCATGAAACCAAGCACATTTGAAGGTGGCCCTACGTTTGACACGTTTGGTTCCTCCCCCCATTCAATTCTCCGCATCCCTGGCGCTAAAAACCATATTGGACTTGGGCCATGAAATGAAGGATTGGATGCAGAACAGTTCGCCGCATGTTGACGAATCTGGGTTCCCCGCATCTCTGCCTGGGGATCCGGATAGTTTTGACATCTTTCTCAAAGATCCCTTTTGACTCTTCAGAGGTTTCCCCCAGTCTGGACTATTATGCGAAAAGCCCATGCCAGAAGAGAGCCAAGTGTGGCCGCAACGGTTTTAGCCAGGAGAGCCACTTGCAGCTTGACGCGGTACCATACCAATGTCAAAGCCCCTGGACTACGGCCCTGCAACTCTTTGCCGCAGGGCGTCAGCAAGGCAAGCGAGGGAGGCGACTGCATTTGAGCAGGGAAACTGGGAACCTGCAGTCTCAGTTCGCAAGCAGCCTGCATTCTCACAGCGTCAAGCCAAACGTTGAAGGAACACGAGTCTTTAGACAAAGAGGGTAATGCAGCTAAAGCAGAAGAAAATCAGGCTCGAGTAAGAGATAGTCAATACATTCACTAAAGATACGCAGTCACTTTGTCTTCCATTTGAATAAGAATAATTGTCATTTTTTACTTGTTGGTTTCAAACAGAATCTATCACTACTGGACATATTTTCGCATTTGTTCCAGGGGGGTTCTCAGCAAACTCTCAGCAGCTCCGCGTTCATGTTTCGCCCGGACGAGAAACATCTTCACTTGCAAGTTTTGTGTTTTTCTGGTTCTGCTCGGGGGCTGCACAGAACACAGTTTTCCGCAACCATGCCAAGGGTTCGAAAGATGTCTGAAGCACTTGAGGCCGCAAGTTGTTCACCAGGCTGCTTGGAGCCATTGCAAGGGGACATCGAAGGGGCTTTTCAAGGGCTGCAATTGCCATTTCACAGACCCCTGTAGATGCATGTGGCCACCGAACACCACATAATTTGTCCAGATGATGGAGCCTGGATTCCCTGAACGAGTTTTGAGTCTATGCTTCAAGCGGAGCCATGGAACAGCCACAGGCCTGGCCCCCGTGCTTCCACTTCGCTCAGCCGCGAGCGGCTGGCGGTTGCTCCTCTTCCTCGGTGAGCAGGACGCGGCTGCACGGAGCTGTGTGGAGCACGCGCAGTGGCGCGAGGCAGTTGGCCCCCGATTTCGATTTCAACTTGGTGGCCTATGCGCCTCTAGACCTCTTTTGTGCATTGGAAGCATCAAGCATGGCGGTTGGTTTGGATCAAAGATTGCAGTTTCACGGTCATTGCAAGGGCTTCCCCTGCCTGCAAGGCTTGAGGAAAGGACCCCTGTGAGGCGTTGCTCCTGATGGAAAAGCAAGCGCTGCGACCGGAAGTGTGGCCCGGCCTGCACGAAAACGGGGCAAGGGGGCAAAGAAACCAGCTCCAAAAGTCCACGGCTGGGATGAATGGGGAGTAATTTAGATCGTATACTACTTGAACATTAACTTTCTGATGTGATTATGACATTTTATGCAATTGAAACCCCATGAATAAGAACAATGGGGGTATAAAGTGGAGTCAGGCCGACAGCCCCCCCGATTGGTAGAGAAAGGCTTCGGAGGCCGCGTAAAGGGAGGTGATGTGGTTGGATGGTTGGGTCTGTGTTTGTGTGTGTGTGTGTGTTGCTTTTTGTTTGTTGCTTGTTTTGGTGAAGGTAAGTGTTTGAGTTCCCTACGAAGAGTAATTATGGTCAACCCCCAAAGGGCACCGTTTTTTTTTGGCAACTGGGAGTACACCTCAGTCCTCTCAATGGGCAAAGACGCCGGAGTCTACTGCCTTTGGACTGTCAGCAAAGGTGTGTGGAGGTGGTTATTGCCTGCTGCCAGCTTCAACAGTGGCAGCAGGCCCTGCATTTGCTGTCCACCATTGACCGAAGATCTGCTCTGGTGGCATACCACGCCTTGGCCAGTTGCTTGCCGACTTCAGACTGGCCTACGGCACTGCAAGTTGTTGCCAGGCTTGGTCCAAGCGCCTTGCAGCAAGATGTGGTGTCCTACAACACGTTGATGAACTTGTCAAGTTGGCCAGCAGCATTGGTGTTTCTGGCAGAGCTGTCATCCCGTGCGCTGCGGAGCAACCTCATCACCTGCAACACGCTGATCACATCGGACGCACGCCACTGGCCGTACGCGCGCGGTCTCCTCACCCACTTCAAGGCTTCTGGCTTGCAGGCAGATGTGGTCAGCTACAATGCGGCCGCCTTCGCATCACCCTGGCGCCAGGTACGCCGTTTTGGTCTTGAAGGAAAGCCAACAGGAAGCTCATGATTTGTAGGGGTCCTCTCGGCTGGTTTAGTCGAGGGAAGCCAACGTAGGAAAACCGGACAATCATGTGGATAAAAACAAAGTTGTTGAACTTTGACCACCCTTTGTTTCTGTTGCGGGGTCCATGTTTCTATTTGAGTGGTGTGTTGTAGGGCAGTGATCAGCGATCCAGGAATTGTTCATGCGTGGAGGGGGCAAACAAGATGTTTTCAATAGCCAAATTCGAACAACTTGATGTTGAGCACTGGTTTGACTGTTCAGGGGGATGGGGGGGGCACATTAAACCAGGCCCAACATTCGAGTTGATGGCGCGCTTGGTCCCCAGCGCCCCAGCCACTTCGTAGGCGTTGTCTCTGCTGCGTGCCACGGCGGCCTCCACTCTGCGCCTCACCGTCGCCAGCTGCAGCACCGCCATCGCGGCCGCGGACTCCTCCGAAAGCGCGTGGCGCTGGGCGCTCTTGCTGCTGCTGGAGGCCTGCCACCTGGGTTTGTCTGTTTAGGGTACCCCGTTCACTCCCAGTTGCTGAATATGTGTTATTTTCAGTTTCCCAGGTTGGTTTTATGCTGAACATGTTTTATGTTTATTTTCCCAGGTTGGTTTTATGTAGGAACTCTATCACTACTGGAGATATGTTAAGTTGTTCTGCAGGGGGCTTTGCTGTAGCAAATGGAGGTTGGCAAAAGGGCTTGCCCAAGAGGAAAAGTAATGAGTCTTCTGACCTCTCAGCTCCTTCGTGTTTCCGGTATGAGTTTGAACTGGACATGTGAGGCAACCCGAGACACTGGACGATTTTCAATCGCGCCATGGCTCCTCTCGACCGTGAAATTGTAGATTTGCAGGGGAGAATGAACATGTTCAAGGTTGGCATGCCACGGAAATGGCTGGCGGTTCCATAAATTATCATGTCCACCAAGGTTAAAAGGCCTATGGCAGGCATAGACCGGGAACACCTACCTAAATGAGGGCCCTTTTGGGGAATATTTTTAAAGTTGTCTTGTTTGGGTGGAGACCCTGGTAGCGGAAACCATCTTAAGATGGGCTGAGCGGCTGAGGAAAGCCCCCTGCGGTATTTCCCTATGTCCACCCCTGTTTGACCATTCCAAACAGAGGTTCAGTGGTGTGCCCCCTAGCCACTAAAGCACATATGTTGTTTTTTCCTTTTCCGCCACAAAACATGCCCAGTCATAACACGACGACGCCGCGTGCGTCGATGAACCCCCAGGCCACGCGCCGAGCCCTGGACAGCCTGGTGGCGCAGAACGCTGCCACCGGCATCGTGGCCAAGGCGTCGTGGCCCTTTGCCTTGGCGCGGCTGGCGCCCAGCGAGGCGTCCTTCGGCGCCAACTTGGGGTGCAGCCACTGGAGCCGCAGCCTGCAGCTGCTGAAGCCTGGGCGAAAGCTCAGCGTTTTTGTGTGTTTTTTTGTCGGTCAACGGATCTATTGACAATCTGTTTGTGTGTGTGTGTTTCCCTTCAAAATGAGGAGTTCATCTAGAAATCTGGTTCAACCCTCCCAAAACTTGCGGTTTTCCTTTTGGCTTCCCTTCAAAACCCACAACAAAGCCTAGTGGTTTCTCGTATGGATTTGGATTTTGCCCACGTTCGAGCCCAGGAAGCAGAGCGCGTTTTCGGCCACGCGGCCCAACCTCATCATGCACAACGCCGCAGCGGGCGCCTGCGCACGTGCGAAGGGGCGGCAAAGCGGCGCCTGGCGAGCACTGCTGCTGAGCTTGCGGAGTGACCCCCAGCTTAGTGGCACCTGGTCTTTGCCTTTGTTTTCCATTTGCTCCTTACTTGTTTCTATTTTGTTTTGTTGCCCCTGATGGAATCCTGTTGGTTTAAACTGGAATTTATCACTACTCGAAATATGCTTCTGTTTTCAGAGGACTTAAGCAAATGGAGGTTTTTGCTTTGGCAGCATTTCCGTGTAGAATTAACCAACAAAGGCTGCCCCTTTGTTTCAATGGACGCCGGGCTTCTGAGGACCTGACGAATTTGGTCACGTTCAGCGAGGGCATTACTGCCTGCAGTCACCAGCTGCGCTGGACACAGGCACATGTTCAACTTGTCCGTTCGGAGTTGACAGGGACAACTCAAGTGTCAGTTTCCTTCAGAACTGGGCTACTTGGCTTTTTGGCTGCGGCGTGACCAAGCCGCTTTTGGTTTTTGCCTGTTCGGCCAAGCCCCTGAAACCAATTATCCCCAAACGGCTGCCATGACTTAAACAACCCCAACAAAAAATGGTTCCCTGCCCCTGAAAGCAACTCCAAGAAACAAGGGTTCCCTGCCCCTTAATGCAACCCAAAAACGGGCTCCCTTGTGTTGGTCTCGTTTTTTGGGCGGACCTGGTTAAAAACAAAAACAAAAAACGCCCTTGCCCTTCGCGGCTTCACAGGCGGCGGCCCTGCTGTCGCGCTGCTTGTTGCAGGGACTGCTGCCGGACCTCACCAGCCGAAACGAGGTGCGGTCGGGTGTCGGCCTTCAGAGTGTTGAGGTCTCAAACTCGGATCACCAAGACGGCGGATTTCCTGTTGGCGTCTCGACATCGGACCTCAAAATGGTGGGGGGGTCCTGGTGGTTTCCCTTTAAATCCGACCGCAAAGGCGTTCCCTCGCTATGAAAGACGGGATTAACCCTCTTTCCAGAAGTGATGGAGTTGAACAGGCTCATTTTAGCAGACTACCATCCTCTTGAAAAGGCCACACACACGTCCACTTCCGTGATTGTTGGAGAAAGAGTACAATGTAGGGAACCCTCGACCCTGGAAAAGGGTAACCCTGCAAAAGGGAACCCTGGAAAAGGGGTGACACAACAGCTCACGAAACTTAAACTTGGGCCCTGCCACCCACTGGCAGTCGCCTGTTTGAGTGGTTACATAAACCCGCTTGTAAATGATGTCCACGGGATCAATTGAAGTTCAAACCCACGCCACTCCACTGCTACAGTGTTAGTGGTGGCTTGAGGCTTCTAATTTGCGGACACCCGAGAAAGCGACTGCCCTGTTTTGGGGTCCAACACTTAGGGTCCATGTTTCACAGAATGTTCTTAGGTTGTTTTGGACGTTTCGCACACTCATTTCCCCAATTGGACTGACGCTGGACCCTGTGCTCGCACTCCAGGATTTCCAAGTCTTTGAAGTGCTGATTTCAGGCGAAATTCTCAGGCCGTCATGTTTTTTACACACACACACACATGTACTACATGTACCCATCCTTCAAAGGGCCCAGGGGCAAAATTCCTCCCCGGGGCGTCCCGACGCGAGAGCCGCACGCGCGGAGGTCATGGCCGCCTGCCGCGGCGCGGGCGCCGCAGCGGCGGCGCTGCGCTGCGGCGCCGGCAATGCCGTGGGCCACGCCTTGGCGGTGGAGGCCGCCCAGGCAAGCCGCGAGTCGCTCGCGAGCGCGAGCGCGCGGGAGTGGTCACAGGAGAACGGTGGAGAACGGCCAAATCGAAAAGGGCATCACCTAAGAAACCATGGAAACCAGAAGTACAGAAACGAATCAGAAACCAGGCAAAACGAAATGAAACCATGGCTCAAACCAGAAGGTTTGTTGGTATTTTCGTTGGGGCAACGAATCAAGCCTTTGCGGTTGGCGGTGTTTTTTTCTCTCGGGGGGGGGGGGGTGGGGGGGCATCCACCGTACTGTGGAGGGTTGCGAAATCCATTTCGCACCAGCTTTCAGCAGCCCTGGTTTCATTTGTCCGCTTGCATGTTTTTGGGGGTCATCCGTATGGCCAAACAAACGGTTTGATGTTGGACCGAGGCCATGGGAAGCCACCTGGGATTCGAGTTCCTGCGATTCGTTGGCTCCATGTTTCCCTTGGCTTCACGAAGGTGGGGTCAGTTTGACGGTTGGATCGCAGAGGTGAGAACATGATGGGCTGGTTCTCTTTAGCGCCTACCATTTAGGGGAGACTTGACTTTCATGGTGAAATTCATGGACCCGGGAAGGGGTGCCAACCCCGAAAAAAACATGGTGCCAATGTCGTATTTGTCGAGTGTCTGAACAACGTCTGGGAAGCCCCAGAAGTGGAAACCACCAATTGGATGAATCACAAGTTCCCTTTGAGCCGGTCCCGCTTCAAGAACGAACAGACACGCCAAAAGGGGTTATGTTTGGCTGGATATTTTAAAGAAATACATCTCGAATTCCCATTGGTTTGGTGTTGCAAATTCAAAGCCACCAAAAACAACTGTTGGAGTTCCCCTATGTTTGTCAATCCATTGCCCGTAGTTCCCCCCAAGACTTGTTGTGTTCCTGTTGGTTTCCCTTTGAAACCAACCGAAAGGTGGTACCCTCAGAAAAACAACCCCCACATTAGCAACACAAATCGATTTGGGCAGCTTCCGGTGTGCTTCCTTGGGCAATATGGGGGGGGGCTAACTAGTAACTGCAAACACTTGGCCATGGTCATGACTCAGAAAATCAGATATGTGTTGAATATTCTCACAACCCCCTGCGAAAATTTATTTCTGCCCCTGCAGAGTGGTGTCACACTTGAGGAGGAAGCCTTCGCCGCCAACGCCGCGAACGCGGCCTGGGCTGCGGCGTGCATGCAACTGCTGCAGTCCGCCGGCCTCGCGGCGGCGCGGACGGTCCAAAGCATCCGGTCCAGCCCCATGGGTCCCATGGGTCTCATGGACAAAGAAGCGCGGGGGAATCCCGGAGCCCAAAAAGACGCTATGGGATTCGTTTCCGTTTCTAGGGCCACTTGGTGCGGGGGGAATTCTTGCTAGTGACAAGGTAGTCGGGATAGGTTTAAATGTCTTTCACAGAGAGGTTTCTTCCACGACCATGCAGTGGAATGATCCATTCCCGGGTTTCCCTTTCTGTTTGACAGGGGTGTCCTTTTCGGGTCCTTTGGAGGTGGAGGACAAAGCTAAAAAGAGCGAGAACCGAACTATCGCGTGCCAGGCAGTGGAATCGGCCCCACCCTGTCCTTTTGGCTTGGGGTCCCTTTCAATTTCAAGCACTGGGCAAGTGAACTGTATGGCTGAATTGCCAATGGTGGAGCTTTGCTTGCTCTGCGTAGCTGTTCGGATCAACAAGAATCAGCATCTCACAGTCAGTGCAAGCAAGGCAGAGCACGGTGACGTCAAGATCTCAAAGCGCGCGAGAGACTTGCAAGTTCTTGCTTGTGGCTCATGTGGATTTGCAAGGGAGCCCATCACATTATATTGCATAGACTGTTGATATGCGCCAATGAAGCTTACCTCACTTGTGGCTGTGCCCTGCGCATGGATGTCGCCTCTCACAATGCTGCCATCAGCACCTGTGCAAGGGACCGTGACTGGCAGAAAGCTGTGCAGTGTTTTACCGAGCTCTGCCACAGGCAAGGGGGAGGCCGATTTTGCGGGATATGTGGGCATGCAAGTGTTGGGCATGCGATGTTGTTTGCTGTCTTCCCTGGAATAGGCATGCCCTCTGGGACAAGGGAACAATATGCAACCGACCATGTGTACTTGGGGCTCAAAACTTGGTGGAAATCCCGAGGTGATCTTGCCAGCCTTCATTGCTTGGCGTTGCACATCTCAGCGCACATGGGCTTGTCTCAAAATGAGCGCCCCCCCCCCTCCCACAACGGTTGTTTCCCTTTGGAAAGCCAAAGCGGGTGCACCAAAAAGAGACACATCCTCATGTCGCAGGCAATGGATGGGCAACAAATTTGTTTGTTGGACTCCACGCATAGTGCATTGGGCCATCTGGGCTGATCGCCACGGACAACTAAACAACAGCCACCGGCTTGGGACGAACAGCGAGTCGGCTTCGCCAAGCCAAGCATAAGCTTGGGATCTTCGCGGGGGTGGAGTTGGATTCAAGGAGATGTGTTGTGAATATTCCACGGGGCTGTGACGGGTTTTTTGCAGTGTGCAAGCCGGTTGCGTGCAAAAGGACGGGATCTCAGTCGATAGGGCGCGTCTTCTTTCTGGGCGGACCCCCCAAAAAATTGTGTTCCTGTCGGTTTGCCTTTGAACACCACAAAAAGAAGCGGGGTACCCAGGGCCCCTTCAAACTAGTGCGTTGGTTTTCCTTTGAGGACCGAAAAAAAGGCGGGGTACCCACTCCAAAAAGCCACAAACCCGGAGGCTGCAAAGCAATGCCATCACCCAGACGGTCCTGCTCAGCGCTTTCGGCTCCGCCACTCAGTGGCGCCGCGCTTTGGAGGTGCGCTGTTTGGGGCGTGTCGGTGATGCGGTGCCATGTGGGTGTGTTCTGTTTTGTTTTGTGGTCTTTTTAAGAGAACCCTTTCCCTAGTGTTGTAGGGCAACCAAAAGGAAAAATGTACCATTTTGCTTTTTGAGGGAACCCTGTTGGTAGGAAAACAAGGCAAACCAAGTTTGCGAGGAACCAATCTGTCTGCGTGTTTTTTGTTTCATAGGAAAAACCCACGTCTTCCCTCTTTGAGGGAGCCCTTTTCTTTGGGTCTGGAGCCCTTTTCTTTGGGTCTGGATGTGGTTCCCTTTTTCGCCTTTCACGCCACGGGGAGTCGATTGTCCCAAGAGGTCTCCATCGCCTCGCCCATTCAGAGGACCAGGAAAATCAGGTCGCCAGGATCTTCATTTTTGATAGAACAACGAGTCTGTTTCTTAAACAATATCCTGCATATCCGCTTTCACATGTTTTCGTGGGTGGGAGACAAAGCTTCGGCTTTTTCCGATGAGAGTGTCAAGATGAGGAGCCCTTTGTCGTGCAGCCTTTAAAGAAGGTCACCTCAAACCGTTTCCATTTCATCGGCGCTGTGTGTTTCACCCGATCCCTTTGTGTACAAGAAACTAGAGAGTGTTATTCTTGTGGAACGTGCGTGGGACTGCCGATTCGAGCCGCTCAAGATTGTGCATGTGATGCTATGCACTGTGAGTGAGTTGAAGTAAGGACACGGGCAAAACCACGCGTCGACATCTTTTGCTGGCATCATTCGCCAATCTCTTTCAGACCGAAAGCAACATGAGCACGAGTCAGCAACAGAAGCCGCGAGATCAGCAGGCGGCAACCATTTGGGTGTGTCTCAAAATAGGGAACCTGTTGGATGGGAAGCAAAAAGAATCCGCCTAATTTCCTGGGTCCCCAAGCTTGAGAAACACCCATTCAATCATTCATTTCCTGCTTGTGAAACCCCGAGGTGAGACGAAAACGGATACCCCTTAGGTTCACTCCCTGAAATTACGTGAAAAAGCCTAAAAAGGGTGCTTGGCTGAAAACCAGCAGTTGTTGATTGTGTTGCCTTTTGGCTGAAAATGCAGGGACCCTCAAAAGACCCAAATGGCTGTGTGTCAAAATAGGGTTGCCCCCGAAATGAGTGGTTTTACGTTGCCCCTTTCTCACCAAGCTAAAAAGGGCACACTAAAGCAACACACCTCACTTTCTGGGTTTAGGGACTTTATACTTTTTGGAAAGACCATGTTAGTGACATCTAAAAGTTTGTATTGTTGAGATGCCATCCACTTAAGTGAGCTGTTCTTGGCAAGTGTTTTTCCTCCTTGCTTTTTTGTTTCTGGTGGCGCAAGCAACACCTTCACGTGTGTCGCGTAAGGAAAAACTCCAGGCGCGTAAGGTGGCACAAGCTAGTGGCGTGAGCAAAACGATACGACACAGCAAATCATGACACGGTTAGGCCTGGCTCAAGTGGGCTTCCAAAAAATCACGGTGATTTGTTTTGCAACCATACTGTGGATGGACGAAATCCTGCACCACCCAAGAAGCCCTGGAATGATGATTCCCCTGCAAATACCAACAAACCAATCGTTTCCCATGTTTCAAAGTGGTGCAGGATTTCGTCCATCCACAGTACCAAGGGTTGAAGAAATGGCTATGGGTCACCCCTAGTGAACATCCCAATCCCCACTCAAATAGGTTCTAAAATTCTAAAATGGGGCGTGAATTCAGGGCGTGAATTCACCTACCCCAAAATGGGATCCCATTAGTGTATGGCCAAATGTTCCATTCTTCTCCGTTTCGCGTTTCTCCGAAGGCGGCGGCCGCCGCTTCTCGCCGCGACCGGGGCGCTTTTCGCTTCGCGGGGAACGTGGTGTGCCGCACGGCCGCGCTCAGCGCGTGCCGCGGGCGCTGGGGTCTCGCGCTGCAGCTGCTGGCGCAGCTGGAGGTGACGGGAAGAGAAGCAAATGGGTGTGGGTCAAAATTAAACCACCAGGGGACCGCAGGTTTTAGTCCATATTTCCATTTACCATGGTTCCGTTTTGGGTACCTATTTTTGACCCACAGCCAAATGAGTGCTATTGGGTCGGATCGTTAGACTTTAACTTTTTGGATGCCCCTCATGTTTCCTTTTAAAAAGTTAAACTTTTTGCTGGGGGACCTACAGCACCTAAGATGAGTGGTTCGTCTTTCTTTTGGCTAGGTCCCCCCAATAGTGCCCTTTTACCCTTTTTGGGAGGCGGGTTCCCCCACTAAAATAGACTGCAGAAAAAAGGGTACCCTTATAACTCTACTGCTATTGAGTAACGAATCTTTAGACTTTAACTTTTGGGATTCACCTCATATGTCCTTTTAACCAGCAAAAAGTTAAACTTTTTGCTGGGGGATCTACAGCACCTAAGATGAGTGGGTCGTCTTTCTTTTGGGGGTGATAATTAACGTGCTTGGATGGTTTTCAAGGGCACATGGCTGTGCATTTAAAACATGGTGGTGTCTTTTTTGGTGTCCCTTTAAGCAAAAAAAAGGTAACACACAAACCACACCCAAAAGCACACTGCCTCTCATGAAGGCTAACAGGAGGACTTTGGAAGGCTGTTGTTCCTTTGGGGAACACTTGAAGTCCGTTACCATGGACTGTTGTGGTTGATGGGTTGATGGGTTGATGGGTTGATGGGTTGGTTGGTTGGTTGGTTGGTTGGTTGGTTGGTTGGTTGGTTGGTTGGTTGGTTGGTTGGTTGGTTGGTTGGTTGGTTGGTTGGTTGGTTGGTTGGTTGGTTGGTTGGTTGGTTGGTTGGTTGGTTGGTTGGTATGGGTCGGTCGGTAGGTCGGTCAGTTGGTTGGTTGGTTGCACTTGAGTCAAGTCCCACAGTTCCTTATCTCAAGGCCAATGTGATTTGGGATTCCACAGGCAAAACTGTTTCGCATGCTATTTTTTTTGAGTAGGGCTAGGTATGTCGAATGGAAAAGCCCAAAAGAAAACAACATGTTTTGTATTGTGGGTAGAAATATTGATGAGCACCTTCCCAAATTTGGCTGGTGGACGTTGAACGGAAAGCCAGATCAGGCCAATTGCTTGACTCCAGATTGGGGAGCTTGTGTGCTCCCCTGCAAATCAACATGGAACCCAAAACAGAGGTACAAGAGCAGGAGATTGCTGTAGCCTGGGGTGTTCAAAGCTAATCCTCAATCCTTTTATGGAAAATCGGATTGGCCAACCCTCCATGAACAGCCCAGCCAGAAGAAATATGGCGTTCCAGGATGCAGGCTCCTGCACCTTGCCAGCCCTTTCAGCTGACAGTTGATTGCGTGACTCCCTTGTTTCGGGCTCCTTGTAGTGTTTGCTTTGTTGGATTTAATTGCGTCACATCCAAGTGTTCGAACTGTTTCTGGGAAGCCTTAATTGAAGCGAGTTGTCTTTTCATGGGTGCAACTCTTGAAGGGGAACTGCCTGTTTTCTGATTGGAACCCAGGATGCGTAGAGTCCCACTTCCCCCACTGAAAAGGGGGTTGGGGGGGGGAGGGGGGATGGGGTTGCAACGCCCTCAAAAGCGGTGTGTGACCGTCCTAGCACAAATAATATCCCAAGGAAGTTGGCCCCAAATTTGTTAAACCAACCACTCAGGGTAAAACCGGTAGAACTCTCACTGTTGCCATGGCCCCCTTTAAGGCATTTCGGCAAGCGGCTTTTGCGCCCTCCGTGGAATTTACGAAAGGTGTCTACACAGAGCCAGAAAGGTAGCCCACCGCAGGCTCGAGATGTGGCGCTTGCGTAGGTTCAGAAGGAAAGCAGCCCACCCGCAGCTCAATTGCCGCTGCTTTCCGTCCCCATGAACAGCTCCATGCTCCCTTTCAATCCAGCCAAACATGCTCCCTTTCAATCCAGCCAAACATGATTTGGGCACGTCTTTTTTGAGGGTACCCTTTTTTGGGGTTGGTTTAAGGGGACACCAAAAGGAAACCCACCGGTTTTTTTTTTTGGGGGGGGGTCGCCAATTCAAGACACACCCAGTTCTCTCGTCCCGTGTTTCCTTTTTTTTGGGGCGCCTGGAGTTTCCCTGCAGGAGACGGGGCTCTCCGGGAACGTGGTGTCCTACAGCAGCTGCATCGGCGCCTGCGAGTGGCCCCGCGCAGCTCAGCTGCTGGCAGTGCTGCGCTCGAGGCCCGAGTCGCTGATGGGTCCGAGTCGCTGATCGGCCCGAGTCGCCAGGGGTACAGGGTTTTGACCCACAGCCACCTAAGAAACCCTGATGTTTCGACTTGTGCAGAGGCATTTGTGGAGGCGGCTGTAAGTGAGATGTTGCATGCCGAGGCAAGTAGTGGCTAGAGCGGGCAGTGTGCTGCCAGTGAGGTGCAGTGCTGTCCCGTCCTCCTTTTGCTTGTTGGTCTTTTCGTTCTTTGGTTGGGCTCCCTTATATTAGTTTGAGACCCTGGATTTGTTTCCAGCAACCGCCAGCAGGCACGGCCCGGGGCTTAGAACTCCCGGAGCTTAGAACTCTCTGAAAGCCGAAGAAGACGAAGAAGAAGAAGAAACCCTGGAATTTCTGATCACCCTGTAAATACCAACATAGGCACCTTTCGGAATCCCTGGAATGTCTGATTTGATGCCCCTGTAAATGCCAACAAACAATGGCTTCCCTTGGTTTCCACCAGGGTTGGTTTGGTGCGATGACCGGTTTTGGGATTCCCGAACAAAGGAAACAATTAGTTGGATGGTTTTTCTTGGTGTCATTCCCACATTCCCAGCTGAGCACCAGCAAGCAAGACATCCCTGAGTTTTTGCTCAGCGCCAAGGGGATTGCCTCCGATCAATCGCGCAGCCATCCTACATTGGTCGCAAAGCTCCGAGTTCTGCCGGCAGTGAAGCCCCGGACAACCTGATCGATTCACAGATGGCGACATCGAATTGATTTGGGGTCTCCAATATTTCAACAGACGGACAGAAACCGACTCAGAATCTCGCAATGTTTCACGGAAGGACTTATGAAACCGACTCAGAAACTCCGACTATCTCATGCATAGACAAACACATAACTATAAAACAACCTCAGAAACTCGAATTTGTTTGTGTACACCTTCTGGCCATGCCCATCACAACTGGGGGAGCTGCGAGCTGCTATTGCAGGTGCCAGGCGAATTTGGTGGCCTTCAACAGCGCGGCGAAGCAGGCGCCCTGGACACGGGCGCTATTCCTGGAGGCAGATCGGGGTGAACCAGGGGGGGGCACGCATGTGCGTATGGCAAGTTATAGGTTGATACATTGAACCATTCTGCAGAACTGCTAGTGATTCCTGTTTGACAGACTCGGTAACAACACGAACTTACTAGGAAATTGTACGGAATGATTGCAGTCCGTCAGAAGAGAGGAGATACTAACATTAAAACTTGCAGTGGTGATGGTCCAAAACCCGAGCCTGTTTCACTCCTCCGGCTTGCTGTTTGCCTACAAATAGAACCTTTCCGCAAGGGGTGGTTTCCCTTGGGCTTCTTCTCAAAACAAGCCCATCTTCTAGGGGCACCGAGGGCGGGGCAATAGTTGTTTAAAGAGCCAGACCCGCCCTGTCCGAAAGCGAAAAGGACGTTGAACAAAGGTGAAATTGGTTTAAACGCGTTTGAATGGGGTGCTCACCCGTCCCAAATTAGCCCAAAGGAGCAAAGGAAAAAAAGGCTCAGGACCCCCCCAAATGAAACCCCCAGATTTCGGGCAAGATAACATGACATGGAACCCTGAAATGGAACCCACCCGGATCCCCTGAGACCCCCCCCCCCCCCTCAACCCGCCCCACGCTCCCCCCCCCCCCTCCCTCGGCAGGTCCGGCAGCGGGGCCTCCAGCCCAGCGCCGTGTCGCTGGGCACCGCCCTGGCGGACGCTTCCGGATGGCCCAGAGCCGTGCAGCTGCTCCGCGAGACACGCGCCAGGCGGAGAGACACAGGTGCTCAAGCTCATAGGTGGCTGTGGTTGTCAAAACCAATGGTATCCCATTTTAGTGGTTGGATTGAATCGGATGTTCACTGGGGGTACGGGCTTGGGATTTTGACCCATGGCCAGGCGTCCAATTTTTGGTTGTAGAAAAATAGATGGGTTTCCTTGGTGTACCTGGTGGTTTAATTATCCACCAGCGAAACCCATCTATTTCCCCTAAAAGAACACCTATGCTCAAGCTTCTTTTTCTTTTTCTTTTGGGGGGGGGAATCTACCAATACTGGAACTACTGTGGATGGTTGTCATATTTGGCTCAGGGTTTACAACATGTCCCTTTGCTTTGAGTGGTGTTTTGTTTGTTTGTTTTTTACAATTTGTCCGAAGCTTTAAAGGGTGGTTTAGAGTTGACAAGTCAACTAGGCAATCATGTTGGTGATTGTCCCTGTTGTTATTTGCCCAGGTTTTAGCATATTTTCCCAGACGGTTCCCGGTTTATTTGCCCTTATTGACCACACCGCTTTTCTCTGGAATGAGCTTGAGAAAAGGAAGCAGAGGGCGTTTGGGCGGATTTATCGGGTGGTTTTAGAGAAGTTTGGGCGGGCCAAGCTGTTGGGTTGGACGATGTTTTGATCACCTTTGCATTCCGGTTGCCAAGTTATTTGAATTGCCCCTTTTGGGGTGATGTTTTTTTGTGGGGGGGGACAATGGGGAGCCCCGAACAAGCCCCATGCTTGCGGCCTTTTTAGACAAGGAGGGGAGATTGGGGAGATAATTGCTTGACTTCCGGTTGGGGGGATTACCTAGACAATGCCACCGACGTCGAACTGGAGAGCTTGGCTGTTATAGCGAGAATGCGAGTGGTATGATGCTCTCCATTTCATTTGGAAATTGTTGTGGTCCAACTGAGGAGTTTGTCTTGTCGCCCCACCATCAAGGGATCATAGCGCCCGAAAATTGAAATGCGCCTTCCCAAAACTAAAAAAGATATAGGGTGTCGTCAACCACCTTGATCCACCCGGGTACCCCCAAAAAAGACACCCCAAATGGGGCGGGCAGGTTGCTGCGGGCCAACCAGGCGCGCGAGTCGACATGCGCCCTCCCACCGACTAACACAGACCGTTTTCCTCGTCAGTTGGGAGGGTATTTTCCGTCCAAGCGCCGTTTGTTTTTCTTGAGGCTGAGGTCAGTAGGGATGTTTGTCAACCCTTGAGTGGGGAATTCAGACCTGGGCAGACAACTATGAAAGGAGCTCCTTGTAAGGGACTATGACCCTACTCCACAGAAGATTTGGCCATGTGTGTGCTTGTGGCTTCTGGGCATCCAACTTGAGACATGTAAGGAAACCAGTGTTTGAGTTGTGGAGGGAAGGTTGGATAGGTTTGCGCAGGGTGTTTGGGGCAGGGCTGTGGGAATTCGAGGATATTGGAGGCAGGTCGCTGGCAGCTTATTGGTGGTTTGGATGATTTGAACCCCTGGCTCTTGTTGGAGGGTAATCGAGAAACCACCCAAACTCCAGACCACCAAAACTAAGCTACATCAGCATCAGGGGGAAGTTGAGAAGCGGTTTCCACAAACGAAACTTTTGGTTTTGTGTGCTTCTGCGGCAAGTGCCCTCTTCTGGAGTTGTTTGGAAGGAACAGAGAAGCAAACGGAAGAATAGATTGGGGCCTTAAAAAAGACAAAAACAAACATGTGGTTGTGGTATTCAAAGGTGGATCTTTGACCAATTTTGAGCCTAGGGAAAGCAATAGGACATGTGTTGTGTTGTGTTGCGTTGTGGTGTGATGTAGTATTAGGTGTATTTGTAGTGGTAGTTGTGGTTGTGGTTGTGGTTGCAGTGTGGTGTGGTGTGGTTGTGTGGTGCGATGTTGGTGACCCTGTTGGTGTGTTGCGTTGTGTTGTGACGGGCTGTGCTGTTTTGAAGGGACGCCAATTGGAGACTGGGACCCTGTTTGTCGACCCACCATGCCCACCCATGGTTTTTCGCCCAACCACAAGATGGTCAACAAACAGGGGCCAAAAGACGAGAAAATTGACAAACCATTGTAAAGAATTGCTTTCAAGGAACCCTGAGCACCCCGTTTTGTTTTGGTTCCGACCAGTGACTGATCTCCAGCCGGCCCCATGAAACACGACCGTACCACCTCACCTTGCTTCTGTTGTTGTTGTGGCCTCTATGCTAGGGGTTGATTCCCCATTCTTTTCCACCATCGTTCTTTCAAAAATCATGTTTTTTTCCGGGTTTCCGGAGGATTTCTAGAAAGAATGATCCCTGAAAAGAATGGAAATGGAAGGTATTCCTAGATCTATGGTCTTCTCCACGCTTTCCCTGAGCCCACAATGGGCGTCTGGCACTTGGAGGTCATCTACACCGCCGCAGCCGCCCACTTCAGCGGAGTGTGGCGGCAAGGCGCCGAGGCTCTGGCGGAGATGGCGCAGAAGGCCCTGGAGGTGAACCTCATGGCCTACAGCTCATGCAGCGAAGGACCGGGAACTAGGTCCCCCAGCTGGGTGCCCTTGTACCGTTTCTTTTTTGGGGGGAGCTCAGGGAGTAGGGCCCCCGGGGACCTGCGGTGCGTTGGTCGTCCACCAAGCTGTGGTCTCCTCCACAGTGCCCCGCTTTTCGTGTGCGGGGCCCCCTCGTGGCCTCCCTGCTATGCCCGTTGTGCTGTTGGCGTGCTGTTCCCCCTTTTTGATGGTGTCGCCCTTTCCCCTGGCTTGGTCTCTTTCGTTGATGGCTGCTTCGCTTTGGTCCTTGTGTGTGGATTGCTTTGGTGGGGTTCCGCTGCATGTGCCCATCCCTGCGTTAGGGATGGGCCCTGTTCTTCGGCCCCCTCCTCTCACTGCATGGTGGCGATTTGATGCCCCAGGTGCCGGGTGCAAACCTCATGGTCCCTCCCCGGGAGTTCCACTTCCGGCAGTGATTTATACTTTGTGGTGCTGCTGCTCTACATTCCTTGTAGCCTTGGTGATTTTGCCTCTCTGGAGACCTACAGTTGTACAGTGTTTCGGCTTTTCTCTACTATTTGGGCGTTGCTACATCCTCATCTACCGGACTTGTGGGGTTGATAATCAACCGGTAGCTGTTCAACGTGACGGTGCCCAGCAACAGCATTTTATGCCGACTTTCCTCGGGCCTTTTCGTTTACTTTCCTCGCCTAGCAGTACAGTGGTTGCAGTGGTGGTGGGAGCTGGCTTTGGCTTTGCCTTCTTAGCGCCTGTGCGGCCCTGGATGCTGGCCTTTCCTGACTTGGGTACGTGTACAAGAAGATTTCCGAATCCGCTTGGCAGTGTGGGGTTCTCAATGGCATGGTGAAGTTTGTGCAGATGCTTGGCGCCCTGGGCATTGTGCTGAAGGGCATCGTGTTGTCCTACTGGCAAGCCCCAATGAAGCGAACCATGCAGTCCCGGCTCAATGCCGTGGATGCTTGCTGACTACGCTTGTGACCTGATGCCGTCAGCCCCTGTTGGTGGCGCTCTGGTTTATGTTTCATCCTCACCGCGTTGAGTGCCAGATCTTTTCTCCACAGCGATGGCTGTGGTATGTGTCACTGGTGGGCACCCGTCCCACCAGGCCTGTTCAGATGGTTGGGCGGCATGCTCCGTCAGCTGGCGAACTCGTCGCCCGCCGTGTGCCAAAAGGGTACCCTTATTGTAACCTCTCGGGAAAAGGGCCAACCGTCAGATGGAGGGGGCCAAACGTCAGCTTGACGAAGCTGCTATTGGTCTATAGCTGGTATAGGGAGTTGTGTTTTCTTTTCGTGGCGGTGCAGAGTGGGAGGGGCGGTGGGTGGGTGGGTTCCTGTTGTTCAACCCACGCAAGGAGCGGCAAGTGTTCATAAACTCATGGTTGATTTTCCCTCAACACCCACCACACTGGATACTTGCTTCACTACTGTTCCGGGCCACTAGAATGGCAGCGGTAGAACCTAATACCCATTGTTCCACGGCGAGCGAACAAAATCGCTGCCAGCCAGGCACTTGCGATGTTGCGGGTGGCTGTGGGTTATTAGGGTCGCATTTTGCATGTTTCTCTGCCTATGACACAAAATGTTCTTCGTGGTTGGTCAGCTGGTCAGTTGCTCATTGTCCAGAGGCTTCCCATGAAACAAGAACCAAATTAGATTCAACGTAATTTTGTTTAATTAGTTGTTTGATCATGTTGTACTTTTCGTGTTTGCGGCTGCAAACAACAGGCAGCCTTGTTTTCTGACATAGCAAGAGTTACAAAGTCATTGCAAAGAGACAGGATGTCAAAGAATAGTTCCACGAACGGGTTATTCAATGTCGACTCAACTTTGGAACTCGTTCGGGCCCCCCCGCAGAAAACCATGGTATCTTGCGTTGTTTGGCGTGTGAATTTGTGTTTCGTCGGCGGACCTCGGTGGCTTTCTCACCCCGGACCTTCTTTTGCTTCGGGTTGGGGATCAGAAACGAAACTGGCGTGTCGGCCTTCCTGGATTCCAGTGCACGTTTGCCTTACCATTCCCTTGACAGAGCCCCAGAAACTCTTCGCACTTATCAAACCAATGACCACCGCGTCGTTGTTTGTTGCATTGGGGTTTCCTCTACTCTCTTGCCCAAAGCCGACCTTGTGACCTTTTGGTTTTTACCTGTGTCAGAGTGAAAAGGAGAAACCTCGTTTCAGGGTCCAACTTGTTTGGGTTGATGAAGATGAACCCTTTTGAGGCACCAATCCCTTGACGTCGACTGAAAAGTACAGAACGTAGTTTACATGTATATAAGACATGTGTATATACTATATATATATATATTATGGCTGTGCATTTTTCTTAGAGGACGTCCCCCCCCAAATGGAAGAGTGTTCCTTAACCACGAAACAAAGAAGCGGGTCCCCATTCCCGAAAATGGCAGACCCATACATGCATGCATGCATACATACATACAACAAGACATACATACGTACCTACTGCCTACGTACATACATACCTACATACCTACGTACCCACGTACATACATACATACCTACATAGCTACATACCTACATACACAGGTACCTACGTAGCTCCACACCTACCTACCTACCTACCTAGCTACACCTACACCTACACCTACACCTACACCTACACCTACACCTACACCTACACTCCTACATACCTACCTACCTGCCTACATACACGCATTCATTGATATACGTACATTGACATTCATGCATTGAAATGCATGCCTTGACATACATACATTGACGCACAGGCATTGACACACATACATTGACAGACATACGTACATATATATATATATACATATATTTTTTCTGGCCCTGCGGCCTCTAGCCGGCTACGCCTCTTTGAAGTTATGCCATGTCATGTCATGTTGTTTGTATGAGAAACGTATCCTGTGCTATGATATGGCTGGCTAGGTTATGCATGTTGCCCACCCCAACCCCAGATGATGCCGGGGATGCCAGCTTTCTGGGCCCCAGCCAGGCCCCAACCTGACATGGGGCCGCGCGCGCGAGGGTCAAGTGGCGAGGGTCGGCGGCACCAGTGCAGCCCCTATAGCTAAAGCTAGCAGGCTAATTGCCTAGCGGCGACATGCTGCCCCAGGAGGCGCAGCCGGATTTAAGGGCTTACGCCTGACAGCCGGGCGCCGGGAGATGTTACGCGCAGCGTGGCTCAATGGCTGTTCGACAGCGCCAGCAGCCTTCAAAAACACTGTGTTTTTTCCACGTGTTCGGCCAAATTGGCCCGACTTAGGGGACAACATCCCCAGCATCCCCCGCATCACCGGCATTATCCGCGTCAATGTCCCCCGCATCACCGGCAGTATCCGCATCAATGTCCGCCATGGATGCGGACATCGCTGCTATGCTAATCCCTTTTTTTATGGCCGGCCTGCCCAATTGTTCGCGCAGCGCCTAGTGAGTTTGAAGGAGCCCAGGCTCCAAGATACGGAGAATGTCCGGGGATGAAAACTTCGCATCTCTCGGCGCCCGGCTGTCAAGCGTGAGCCCAGAAATCCGGGCGCCGGGCAGGCGAGCCCGGAGGTCTTCGGTTCCCCTTAACCGAAGGTTTGTAAGGGCCGCGCCCCTGCCGCCGTGTCGACCCGGTGATTCCGGTTCACTCTGTGTCGAAACCTCGCTGCCAGGGGGGAAAGCGTGTTCGGGCAGTTTTGGTGGCCCGCAGTCCGGAAGCTCTTTCAAACTGAAACATCACAGTGCACATGAAAGCTCACGATGCTCGAAGTTTGACTTGGGAGTCGAATTCCTGCTGACTGCAAGGGTATAATTCAGAGTACCGTTCACATGCTCTGCAAGTTCTGTTGCAGCATTCCCTGCGCTGACGATCAGCCCTTGGCGAACAGAGGATATGATTCGGGTTATGGGTCGGAGGTATGCTTCTTGGCATGGCTCAAGGGTATGCTTCGCACCGGTCAAACTTCCATCCTTCACTGTATCAGGCACATTCTCCGTATCTTGGAGTCTGGACTCCTTCAAACTCACTGGGCGCTGTGCGCCAGCCATTGCGCAGGCAGGATACAGCTCACACCTGTACAGTTAAGCTCCTACGACCGTCACATATGATGCGTCGGGCCACAAAAACGCAGCGCCGGTTGCGAGCTCCGAGGATATCCAAATACCATAGGCACACACACCACTTTGCCGAGTATGGTGCCCAGGCCATGAAGCATACTTCCGACCCATACCTGGAAGCATAACCTCTGTTCGCCAAGGGCTGATTGTCAGCGCAGGGAATGCTACAACGAACGGCACTCTGCATGATACCCTCGCAGTCAGCGGAAATTTTACTCCCCAGTTTCGTTCCAAGCACCGTGTATTGGCGCAGACTCAAGTATTTCAATTAGAAGCAGAGTATCGTGAGTATTCATGTGCACTGTGATGTTTCAGTTTGAAAGGGCTTCCGGACTACGGGCCAAATTGCTGCAATGATTTAGGACAGCTTTTTGCCTGCTACTGCGAGTGCTGGTGGATGCCCAATCTACTGCAAGTGTGTGCTGTGATAAGTTGCTGGGGCGGTCAAAACATTCTTGGCAATGTCTGGCTTGATTCAATGGACAGTACTGATCATGCTTTTTTCAGCAGGGGCCTTTGGATTCAGCCAATGTCTTTCGGGGTTGCGCAGAGAACTCAACGGCAATCGACCGTGCAGAGTGCTTGCGAAGCTGAGGACAAAGATGATCTCCAAGGCTAAGTCTGTAGCAGTGTGCCAGCGTTCTGGATGCATGCTTTCTAGGAAATAAGTCTCAGCATCCAACTTTTGTTTTTGAAGCATGTTCCAGTTTATCGCGCTTAGCGTTTTTCATCAGAGTTCCTCCTTACGATTTGAAGGCAAGCCGCGTTGCGGAGATCTTACAGACATGGAGATAGGGTGTGTGATGCAATTTTTGGCAGTTTCAAGGGCCTGAGTCAGGCACGCGTGGTCCACTTGCGAATCTAAGCTTTTTGTTTCGCGAGTAATATGGCTACGTGGCGTGACCAGCTCGATCCGAAATACTTGTTGCCAAGAGTGGACACTTCTTTTGCAAGCTTTTGCTTTCTAGTCATCGGATCTCGGCCAGTCTCGCCAATAATGGCAGAAGAGCTGTGTCTTGCCAGCGCAGTTGCTGGCGCACAGTGCCCGTTTGAGGAGTTTAGCCAAGATACGGAGAATGCGCCTGGTATGGTGCCCGAAGTTTGACCGGTGCACGCCCTTGAGCCATGCCACAAAGCATACCTCCGACCCATACCCCGAATCGTACCCTTTGCTCGCCAAGGGCTGAGCTGGTCAAGAAGTTTGACTGAGAAGCAAAATTCCCGCTGACTGTGAGGGTATAATTCAGAGTACCGTTCGCACGCTCTGCAAGTTCTGTTACAACATTCCCTGCGTCGGCCCAAGCCCCGTGAATTGGCGCAGGCGCAAGTGTTTCAATCAGAAGCAGAGCATCGTGAGCTTTCATGTGCGCTGTGATGTTTCAGTTTGAAAGCAAACTGTCATGTCGAGAGGAAACCCGGTCGGACCAGACACATTCTTCTGTACGAGTATGTCTTGACCCGCGCCTTGGCCATCTGAAAACGCATGCGAAGGAAGCGTTATGTTTTCGGCTTCGCCCTGGATCAGAGGTCCAACCCCGAGGTCCTTATTTTGTTTCCGTTTCTGGGGGTTCCCCATTAACCTATAACTTCGCGGTGACTTTGTCTCCCTTTCCTTACCTATACAGGGAAATTGACCCCTTGACGTTCAAGCGTGGACTTGGTCATTCCGCGATGCGCAGGCAGACATCACGCACCTGCAAGTGATCGCGAAACGTGGCTTGTCACACACGAGTCATCCCGGCACACTTCGAGACGTGGCCACAGCTAGTGCCGTATTCGCGGCCACAGCTAGTTTGTGCCCTCCGAGAGAGACTAGAGGTACAGCCGCTCTGGAGACGCGCTGATTGCAAGTGTAAAGAGCAGGTCGGACATGGTAAGCAGCCGTCTGCGCGCGTAGAGGCTACGGGACCTCCAGCTATCAGGTGAATCTCGAGTTGCTCCACATGTATGCTGGAGGCGGCGAAGGCGCCCCGGCAGCCGAGAGAGATGTCTTCCGCACACTGCTCACGCCAGCGCAACTGTGGCATGCCTTATTGCTCTCGCACCTAGGGACACGCGAAGCTGTGGAAGCATCGCTGGCAAGCGACTGGGCCCAGACCTGGTGTTTACTAGAGCAACTGCAAGCGCACACGACAGACAAAGAATATGAGTTGCTGGCTCTTCTTTTGTGACTATGTTTGACAGTAATGTGGCTTGCGCGTTTCCCGAAGACACGGAGAGACTCATCGCATTGAGCGAAGAAGGCTGGCAATTGGAAGTTGCGAGCCCGCACAACGCGGGCTTTTGGTCTGCTTGAGCTGTTGGACATGTTTCGCAAGGTACACAGCTCTTGCATTTCCGGCAAAAACACCTGCGCCTCTAGGTGTTGCAAGTTGAGTATCAAAGGGGGAACAGGGTTTCCCCCTTCTTGGAAATAGGTAGCCCTCCTGTGTCCAAGAAACCATTTGAACCGTGATGACGATCTTGTTGTCACCCTTCCCGTGCGCCTCCCCTTTGGAGAAGGGGTCGGCGGATATACATACATGCATACATGCATGCATGCATCCGTACCTACGTACCTACGTACCTACGTAGGTACGTACCTAACCTACACACACATACCTGCATACCTGCATACATACATGCATGCATGCATGCATGCATACATACATACATACATTCGTGTAATGTATGATATTTCGGTATACACCTGTACATATGTATAAATATATTATATATGTCTATATGTGTGTGTATACATGGAACTCGCTGGGCGACGTTTTCCGCAGGTGGCCCTTGGCTCTTTTGCCTGGGACTCTTTCAGCAGCTCGATGTGTCGCAGCTGCAGCCTGACGTGGTAGCCTTTGGGGCGGCGATGCGCCTCAGAAGCGAAGCGCGGCCGGGGGAAGCTGACGACTCTGGAAGAAATCAGAAGGAGCCCCAAAAGAGGCCCCTAAAAAGAATGTCCTCCATGGGTGTTTTTAGTGCAGTTAATCTATGCTTCCTCTTTTGAATGGCTGGGTCTTCCCCCCAGTTTTGGAAAGATGGTTTGGGGACTTCATGAAATGATGCATAGACCCTCCCAACAGGAGTTGAAAACAGCCAGCTGCCAACTGGACTAGGAAATTGGCCACTCCCTAAAAGGAGCTTTCTCTTTTAAGTGGGTCTTTCCCCCAGTTAAGTCTGGACAAGTTCGCGGAACGAACCCCAAATTTTGGGCCCCCTAAAAAGAGTGTCCTCCATAAATGGGAGTTTTTTGTGCAGTTAATCTGTAGGGGAGAGACATGGTCTGAGGTAGACATTAAACTCAGGTGGTTGATGTCCACGGGCCAAACCTTGGCGAAAAACTTGGTGTGGCTTTGGTGGCCATGTTTGTTGGTTTCTGGGGGTGGGAACACTACGGCTGCTCCACTGAGACCTTCTGTCAGGCCGCTTGTGGAAAATGCGGTTTCAGGGCAAACTTCTGTGATGCCGATCCCCTTTACACGAGAATGGCCCACTTTGGTATCACAGAACGGGTTATCTTCTGCCGGCGTGAGCAGAGTAGCCACTTTCTGTAAAACGCCCATACAGGTTCCCAGGCTTCTCCAGAAACAAGCTCCATCCGCAAAAAAGACAAGGATGTGGCCGTGGCTGACTATATACCCTCCCGCCCACCAACACACCAGCCGCTTTTACAGGAAAGTGATCCTTCAGGATGCCCCGGTCAGATTCCGTGGTATTGGCTGGGAGGGCAAACAATTGCGAAAACAAGAAGTGGGATAAGAGTGTGCGTATACCACAAAAGTGTACAAACCCCCTTGGATGTAAAGCTTGACTAAAGCAAAACAAATGGCAATGTGAGCACATTGGGAGCAAATTCTGAGTGCCCGGTCAAAAGACAAAACCGCGATGACGCCATGTCCGTCTTGTTTTTTTCCACCCACAGTCCCACGCCCTTTGGCACTTCTCAAAAAATCCTGGAGAGAAAAGGACGCAAAAGAAACGTAACCCTTAAAGTAGTTGTTGGAGGAGAGAGCAACGGAAGGCAGGGCACGAGGGCCAAATGCCATACTCAGACTTACGACTTCGCACTCTGGACGATTTACCTCTGACACGGCACCCTTCTTCACTCCTTGAGAGCCTTGCAACCTGTCAAAGGACGTGGCTGCTGCGTTTGTATCCGCTGGGAAGACACAGCTTGCTTCATTCAAAGCAAGAGATCCTAGTGCAGTCAATAGGTCGCGCGCGTACCAGATGTTTTTTTTTGTTTGTGATGTGGACTAAGGAGTGCCTGCAGCCACGGAACGTGGCCTCAAGCATTAGCATTTTGGCTGTGGTGGATGTGGGTCGTCTTTTTTGGTGCTGGTACCCCTTTTTGTTGGTCTTTAGCGCAAAAACCAAAAGGAAGGCCACCATGTTGAGGGGTCCCCCAAAAAGACACAACCATGTCGACCCCAACTTGCCCATGAGCAGTTTTCCACAATGAAGACGACTGTTGTGTTTGTTTGACCGATATTTGGAAAGGGTGTATTAGCAGGACAAGCGCGCAGTGCTCACTTGCAGCAACCTACTGTGCTCAGCCGTTTGTTCTGCCAGACATGCCATGGCTGAAAGACCACTGACTGTTCTTGGTATGTGTTGTTGAGATTTCGCTTATGCACATAGTGTTGCACTTGGTTAGCAGCATACCAGGGGTTGGGAAGCTCTTTTTAAAGATGGCAGGGTCAAGCTCCATATGAGACCCTCTTCCGTCAAGGCATGTTTCGGGCTTGGGGCAAACAAGCTTCTCAAACGCAAATATGCAGTCGGCCATTGTTCAGCATGATGAACGGCGCGGCGCATGTACGGTCCCAGGATTGCTTTCACCTTCAGCAGGCTGGCATGCTCCCAGAAACTGTGTTGCCCTTTTTGCGGCCAGACATACAGCTAGGACCACAAACACTAGGTTGCCACGGCATCTAGGCATAGCGACCTCAGTCAGGGGTTTGAGACCCGCAATGAAGATGTCTTTCTGAGGAATTTCTCATTTCATGTTGGTGAATCGCAATAGTTCGCCCAGAGGGGCCCAGATATTATGCAGATACAATGCCTCCATGAACTAGTAACGTGTTTTCATGGGGTCCACTAGATATGGCCATGGGGCAAAACCTATGGCTCCATTTTGGGGGGATGAACATCCATTTGCCACCTATTTTGATGTTCATCAGGGGTACAGGGTTTTAACCCACAGCCATATTGGCACCTTTTTGGACGTGGCCTATGTTTGTGCCACGGGGTCTACATTCCTCTTAGCGTTGTGGATTGCTAGGCGCTCCTTCTTCAAGCACATTCGCAAGAGCTGCGCGGCGCCGCACTAGATGTGGGAGCTATTTGCGCTGCCGAGAGGAGCTTAGCGAAAGGAATCGGCAGGTTCAGTGGAACTCGTGTGTCCTCTTTGTTTTTCATATTGTGCTTGGTTTTCGGTTAGACAGATCGCCTTTAGCAGGGGTTATCTATTTACCCTTCTGTCCACTAACATGAAACCCACCAGAGGGGCCGTTGTAGAGGAGAATTGTCTTCCAGGATCCCCTCACTCGGATTCCATGTTTGTGAATGGGAGGGATTATCTACTTTACCACAAAGCAACGGATCGCAAACAAGCAAACGATTTGCAGGTGTGCATGTGCCCAGTCCCCCCTCATCCCGTCCCCGTGTTTGGTGGATTCCAGTGATTTTGCCCTCTTTGGGTGGGTTCGGGACCCACTAAAGAATTGCGTCCGTTGTTTTGGCTCTTAGGGAGGGTGTGGTGCGTGTTGCGCGCTAGCTTAACGTGCAATTTGTGGTATGGGTAATTGTGTGTAAACTTCAAAAGGTTTTTTTTTATTCTTGTCAGGTTATTGGGCAACTGGGCAACTGGGCAACTGGGAGAGTGTCAGAGGAGGGGGGATGTGCACGGCCAGGCGGCCGGAAGATTGGGTCAAGGGGGAAACAAGAGCTTAATGTGCACAATCACTGCTGGGAACTCGATTAATGTATCTATGTATATATATAATACAGAATGGTAAGGTCACTCTAAAATTGGATCTGAATACGACAATATTATGCGTTATTGAGTGGTTCCAGGTGGAGCTCCTTTCCCCACAAAGAAGCCACTGCTCAGCCCCTTCCGCGGATTCGCTCAACCCCAAAGGGCTCCAACTTTCAAACCGCGCCAGGCCTGACATGGCCCAACTCTAAATGCCCGGCTTATCCTCATCCAAGGTCTCAAAATCCACCGACCCGTCAACTGACAGGGCCAGACAAAAGGACCCGGCAACAGAAACTCGAGTTTCTGTTTGCTGGATGCAAAGAAGCAAAGTTCCAAGCTTCGCAATCGACAGGAGTTGTTTCGCAGGGTGGGCCTCAAGATGCCTGGCTTTATCAATCCAGCACAACCACAGCTGACCTTAGCTGATTTGCTTGGCCAGTTACTTGCAACAGCTCGCGCATTGCCATGGCATGTGGTTCTTCAAAATGCGTCTGCATGCTAATCTTTTACAAGACAGGAGGAAAGAACAACTGAATCCGGGTATCGCAGTTCAATCACCTGCGACCCAATGGTGCTTGGTTGTCCCACACAAACAAGCCATCTGAGCCTCTCCAGTAGCATGGGGGTGTCTCGCCTGGCTTACTTTCTCGGTTTGAATGGTCCTGTAGTATTGACCTTCGCTTTCCTGCAAGCCAAAACTCGTCTTCGCCCAAATATTTAGGCCCAAGACTGATGGCTGCTTTCGCATGCTTGTTTTGGCTTGCCACGAGCCCGATCTAGACATGAAGATTGGTCGGTCTTCCAGGACCCAACATGTAGAGCGCATCAGGCACTGCAAACTCGATGAGAATGGTTGGGTGGTCGAGTGAGCGTTCGCGAAAAAGAGAACTGGTCCAATATCTGAAGCAGAATCAAGTGGTCCATTCGCAAAGTACCCCCGCGGTCGTCAAAAACCTCCGCAACGGCTAGGGCTGATTGCGAAGCGCCCAATCGCGAGCGAGGGTGGGCTTCCCGAAGGATTGCAAGTCTGCTTTCAGCGATGTGCTTGGTACGATCTCGGCTCCAGCCTTGGGCCTTGTCGGGTCAGGTCAGCCAGCTGCAGCCATGTCTCGCAGTCCAGCTGAACGGAAAGGTAGGGGTTGATGGCAAAGAAGTTCACCCTGGCAGGAACCAAGGCCGCAGGTCCTTCATCATCTGCTTGTTGACGCCTCTGAGAAGTGTTGTGTGTCTTAGGGTACCCGTTTGGGGTTGAAGGGAAACCAAAACGAGCCTGCCCGTTGTGGGGCTTCCCCAATTCAGAGACAACCCCGTTGCCAGCCTCCAAATCTGCTGGCTTTGCGGTAGGAGCAGCCAATGGCGGCAAGCATTGTTGCTGCTGGATACCATGCGGCGGCGGGGTGTGCAGGATGTGGCAGCAGCAAATGCTGCCATCAGCGCTTGTGGCCTCGTCAAATTATGAGCATGGTTCTTGGCCATGGCGACCTCGCAACGGGATTTGGCTTGCGACCACTTACGTGTATGGTTGGGGGAAGGTTGGGGTTTAGGGTCCCACGAAGATTTCATCTATATGGACTTCTTATTTTGGCTTGGTGTGTCATAATTCACCCAGATGATTCCTTGATCCAGTGCCCAACTGGGCTTGAACCTTACACCAGGACCACCGGAACTCCGGATCTGACTCCAGAGCTCCGCCAAGCCTCCCCGAAACCTTTGGGCTGAGACTAGCTGTTGGAGAAAAAGCAGTTCTGGCAAACATGGGGACAACATGGTTGTGGTGTCAAGAGGATTGAGCTTCCGTGCGAGGCATTTACAGGTTCATCATGCCTGGTGCTTGAAGTCTCACCACTTCTCTAGCATGAGTGCCTTTGGTCTTTTAGAAGATCAGGTCTGACTCGCTTTTCTGGGTCAATAATGCGATCTGACCAAGAGTTTGCAACCTCTCCCATGAAGGATCTCTACTTGCAGTTTCTCTTTGGGTTGGTCAAGTACAATTCACCCAGACTCTTTGAGACCACCCCTTTTGGGTTTGTGTTCTTTGGTGAAACCAAATTGAAGGCCTCGTTGCGCCATTGTCGGGGGGCTGCGGGTCCTAAAGACAGAGCCATTTGCCATGGCGCCGCGAGAGGGGCAGACGCTCGGAGCTCAGGTGGAAAGGCGGAGCAGTGGCAAGCGGCCTTGGCCTTGCTCGCCAGCATGCAGGTCCGGCATGGCAGTTGTTGGAAGGGCAAAAATGTTTCAAAGGGAGTTTCCTCAACCAACATGGCCATGGCCCTTTTGTTAGGTTAGGGGACCCTCCAAAATGGCGCAACGGGGTTTGTTTATATTTTTCAATCCACCAAAACGGGGAGACCACGTTATTCTGTCGGGAAAAGTGAGACTGAAAGGACACTTTGCCATTTGAGGTTCGGTCGAACGCACATCTGCAACAACCAGGGAAGTCTGTCACGCTTTAAACAGTACAGACTCCGCTAGTTGTTGCAGATGTGCGTTAAAATTATGTGTCCTGCACCTTATATAGGGTCACAGTAATTTATGAAATCGTGCCTCATGTGTTTTGTGTCTATTTGAGCAGCGCCTTTTGTACATCTTTTCACAGTCGTGGGGGGGGGGGGAATGATTTGAGAAGTAGGCAACTTGGGACTGGCTAGGCTTGGATGAGACTGGTTAAAAGGTGTTGGGATGTTGTCGGATGTGTGGCGACTCAATGGGAAGCCCTGACTCAGTTCCCGTTCCTAATCGGAGCACAGGCGAATCCTGTCGCCAAGGCTTTAGGCTTTTCGGGCCTGGGTTGGGTTTTTGTTTAGCACCCAGCAACAGTTGGGGGAAAGATGGCATCTTTAGTCATGCCCTTTACCTCAGCAAAAAATGCGCGGCTGCACTCAAGTCGTGGCCCCACGCAAAAGAGCCCAAGAGGTTTGCTTGACTCCGGAAAAGGTGGAAATGGGACAGACGGGACGGAGAATGGCTTTGTTTGTCAGCCTATGTGCCACCCAGACCTGCCAGCTCTTTAGGAGTCGGTCGTGCTGACACTAGAAGCCAGTGCGAAAGATGGGCAAAGATGGCATACCCTGCCCCCAGCCACGAACAATTTCCCCATTTGGGAGAAAAGTCTCCAAATGTCTCCAAACAGAACCGGATAATGATTGTTTGTTCAAAGCACCCTTCAATCGGAGTCCCTTTACAAACGAATCATCCTAAGAGTAGGGATGGTTCATCTAATGAGAATTGGGCTGTGGGTACTTAGAACCAAACTGAGACATGCTCAATGTGGGTAGTTCTTCGCCCCGTATGTACTACAGCCCACCAATTATGTCGGCTCTGGAAGCAGTAGACGGTGGTTGCGCATGAGTGCATAATATTGAAGGCACTGGAGAGCTGATGTGTTGATTTTTTGTTTTGTGACTTTGCGGTATTCTGGCTATATTGTCGTCATCATCATCATCGACTTCAAAGGGGATCGGGAGCAAGGTCTCATGCAAGATACCATTAAAGGATCCAACCAATGAACATTCATACTCATGGATAAGATCTGTGTGTATCCTCACAAATGCATATGCATCATGTTGCACATACTGTATATACCTATACGTATTTACACGATGTATATGCATGCACACAGAATTTATCTCTATGTACATACGCGTGTTGGAGCCCGTTGGAGGCTGTGTTTCCATGTTCCACACATGCAGGCTCTGATAATTGCTCCCAACACCAGGGCTTGGCACCAGCCTTGGAGCAGACACCTTGGGATGGGGACTTTCCCGGCATCTCCTCCGAAGATATGTTGTATCTTTAGGTTGGAGCAGAGTCAGATGACAACAGTTTATGTGTACCAGATGTGGGCCAAGTTTCATGGGCCCATCTATGCATGAGAGCATGTAGAAAACCATGATGAGGATGTTGATGGCGACGACCAAAATCCCACGCAATGGCTTGTCTCAACATACGGGACACCCCAACAAACATGGTCATGTCCTCGTGGTTCCCTTAAACGGCCGCGGCCTAATCCAAGAAGAATACACATATGCACACATGTACCCATACATTGTACACGTAATGCATGCATACATACATACATACGTATATACATACATACGTACATACATACGTACATACATACATACGGACATACATGCATACATGCATACATACGTAAATACATACGTACATACATACGCACATTCATACGTACATACGTACATACGTACATACGTACATACGTACATACATACATACATACATACATACATACATCCTACATACATACGTACATACATACATACGTACATACGTACATACGTACATACATATGTACATACGTACATACATACATACGTACGTACGTACATACATACATACATACATACATACATACGCACATACATACATACATACATACATACGTACATACGTACATACATACATACATACATACGTACATACATACATCCTACATACATACGTACATACATACATACGTACATACGTACATACGTACATGCATATCTGTAGATACCTGCACACTATGATGATTTATAGCGTCAGCTTTTTGCCAGGAGGTCACCGTAATCTCCTTCAACGCGGGCATCAGCGCCTGCGAGAAGGCGTCGCAGTGGCAGACGGCGCTGGGCCTCTCCAGCCGCATGCCCGAAGGCCGTGTGCAGGCGGCGGGGTCGGGGGGGCGGGGCGGGTTCCTTCCCTTTTCTTAAGAATATGTTTTATTGACCCTTGTTGGTTTTAAAAGGAATTGTTCACTACTGGAAATAGTTTAGTTGTTCCAGGGGTCTTAACCAAATGGAAGATTGCCTTTGCCTTTGCGATAGCGCGTAGTGCAGCGATTTAGAGGAGGAAAGCAGGAGAAGGCCCCAAAAACAAACAAGTCAGTGTGTCTGGAAACTGGCACGGACCCCCGGGGAGGGGCGAACTGGGGGGCGCTAGCCCTTATTCACCCCCTTTTTCCAGGCCTTATTAGGGGCTCTTTTAACCCCTCCTGCTTTTTTCAGGCCTTATAAATAGGGGCTTATCAACTTGGCTTATCCTGGGCTTATCCGTGGATAGCCCCCCCGATAGTTGTCCTGGTCCATGATATGGGGAGCGCCGTTTTCTGTGAGCCACGGGGATTGAGAAAAGCACATCCACAAGACATCGCCGAGACATCAAGGGGAAGAACTGCGAGGTAGTCAGAGAAATGGTTGCACAGATAGGATGAAAACCCGGCTTGACACATTCCCACGCGCGGGCGCATGTTTTTGAAGGGTACCCTTTTCAGGCTGGTTCAAAGAAAACCAAGAAGAACACCGCAATTTTGGGGAATCCCGCTAGTTTGACACAATACAACATGACGCCAACGGCCATACGAAGACCTTCTGTGAGGTCCGTTTGTCCCATATGATGTTTGAGGACCATTTTCTGTGAGTTGCAGGGGATCCCATTTAAATTGAGACGTAGGGATGGAACCCACACTTTGGTATCACAGAAAGGACAACGTGGTTGGCCCTCCAAATTCAGCTGTTCTTGAATAATACAAATTATGTTCTGGATGCAATCAATGGAGCAAGGGAGCAGGGGTTGGAATGATGCTTCGGTATCTAAGAAACAAGAAAGGGCCACCCTCCTCCGCACTAACATGGAAGCTGACACAAGTTATCAGTGGAAAACTGGTCTTCAAACAGGCCTGTTGCGCACCTTCCATGTTAGTGAGTGTTGCGTTGTGTTGTGCTGTTGTGCTGTTGTGCTGTTGTGCTGTGGAGGCGCGGTGGTGTGGGTGTGTGGGTGTGTGTGTGTGTTCCACATTGGTGACCCTTTGCTTAAAAGTGACATTTTTGGCAGGCGGAAAAGCAAAGGGTTTAGGAAGCCAGACTCATTTGAAAGCGAACCGACCAGATCGGATTTGCCACTGTCCAGTTTGAGCCAAGATCCCAAAAGTTAAACAGTTACTTTCAACATCACCCCAAGGAAGCCAAGATCATCTTTGTCCCCTCCAAATCCTTTGGGCAATTGAGCAGGTCTTGCCCTTTTGATTGCCAGCTTCGCAAATTGCACGCCCCGGAGCTGAGATTAGTTGTGACAAACCGCAACTTCCCAAAGTCCGTTTTGAGAAGCAACAGTCACTGCCCCAAAGCAAAACGCTAGACCTTAAACCGGATACACGCCAGGCACTTTGCTTTGCTTTCGCGAACGAGTCTGGTTGAAAGGCTCTTTGCGGATACCAAACCCAAGAAAGCCAAGGGGAGCCAACCTAGCCGAACTCAAGATCTGGACAGCTTATGCGAACTCATTTGGACCAGACTCCAAAATCATTGGGGGAAGCTGAGGTTAGGGGCGCTGAAGCATTAAGAGCAGCTTCGCCTTGTAACTCCTTTGATTTGGGGTACATGCTCGCCACGCCACTGGAGTTATGACTCAAGTGTCAAGTCAAGCTGAAGCCTCACTAGATCCTACTAGCTGAATCATATCATATCATGCATCCATGACAGACACTTTGGGTTGGCATTGCCTCCATGTGCATGAGTTTCCATCCAATGTCCTCCCACTGCTCCAAGTTATATCCACGACATAGTCGGATTCACATGCAGGTATGGTTGGTTTGTTGGTTTGATACTGCGGATGGGCAAATTGCTGCAGCACTTTGAATCCACTTGGTGGGTATTACAGGGGAATCACCCAATTCCAGGAAGGTCTTGGGCGCGAAATGGATTTCCGCAACTCCATGCAGGCGGACAGTATCACCATCAACGCCTTGATCAGCGCTTGCGAGAAGTCCGCCATGTGGCGCCAGGCCTTGCAGCTCCTGGCGATACCAGCGGCAGCGGAGAGCCTCATCGCCCGCAATGCTGCCATGAGCGCCTGCGCACCTGGGCATGGCAAAGTGGATGCTCTTTTCACCCAAGGGTTTACTGGGTGCAACCAAAGGGAAACCAAAAGGGGAAACCAAAGGGAAACTACCCAAGGGGAAACGTGCACGTTGACTGCCCAAAGGGACACTAAAAGGGGATTTTCACCCTTGGGTGTCCTTCGATCGGTTAGTTTGCCTAGAAATAGATGGGTTCCACTGGTTTAGATTCGCTTTAACCCCATTCAAGGTCGCCTATATGGTTATAAATCTACCACCGACTCAAACAGCCCAACTCGCAAACATATAGTTTACTAGGTGCAACCAAACGCTCGTAATCTTCAACTACCCAAAGGGATTCGTAGTTTTTCGAGTTTTCCAGAACCTCTATTTCCCAATTTCGAGGGACACCAAAAGGCAAACCGCCATATTTAGGATCCCCCCTATATTGACACTTGCCGGCTTGACAATTTCCCATTTTCCCAAAAGCAAGCCGAAAGGGGACGATTGTTTGTTGTTTTTTTTCAGATGCCCCTCTTTAATACCTTTAACAAGACATTGGGGGAGTGGGGGAAAGGCCTAGAATTTCAATGGAATTGAGGGACCCCCACCCCGTCCATCCTTAGATTGGCGGCGAGCAGCCAGAGTTCAGCCATGAATTAGCAACCTTGGGGGCCTTGGTTTGCAGCCTTTTTAAAAAAGGCAACCGCGTATTAGTGTGTTGCGCAGTTGTTGTTTCTCCAGATTGGCGCTCAAAAGTTTGATCGACTTAGGAGAAGTCTGGGCAGTGGCAAATGGCTCTTGGCTTGCTCATGCAGCTACCGGACATCACTCTTCAGGCCGGTGTCAAAACTTTTGCCGTGCTCCGAATCTGCAAAGTTCTTTGCTGACACACGCGGACACGCACACACGCAGACACGCACGCACACGTACACACTTACACCTACACACACACACATCAATCGAGCAAACCAACAAGCAATCAAACAAACAAACAAACAAACAATACGAACCTGTGAGCGAGCAACACACGGATGGACGAACAAGCACAAACAAGGGTGAACACAATATCAAATAGTTACTCAAGCAAGCAGGCAAGTAAACGAACGTGCGCACAAGAACGTGAATAATCAAAAACGCAACCAAAAAGCAAACAAAAAGAAGAACAACCACTCAATCAAGCAAGCTATCAAACACATAAGCACGAACACAACATACAAACATAGGCAACAACAAAGAAAAACAAAACAACAAACACACAATGAATCAATGAATCAATGAGCCATTCAAGCAATCAATCAATCAATCCATCAATCAATCAATCCATCCATCCATCCATCCATCCATCCATCAATCCATCAATCCATCAATCCATCAATCCATCAATCCATCAATCCATCAATCCAGCATCAATCCATCAATCCATCAATCCATCAATCGGTGAATCAGTCAATCAGTCAATCAGTCAATCAATCAATCAATCAATCAATCAATCAATCAATCAATCAATCCATCCATCCATCCATCAATCCATCAATCCATCAATCCATCAATCCATCAATCCATCCATCCACCCTTTCATCAATCCATCAATCCATCAATCCATCAATCCATCAATCCATCCTTCAAACCATCAAACCATCAAACCATCAAACCATCAAACCATCAATCCAATCCATCCACCAATTCTCCAATCCACCCATCCACCAATCAACATATCAAGCAAGCACGCAGACAAACGCACAAACGCACAAACGCACAAACAAACAAACAAACAAACAAACAAACAAACAAGCAAGCAAGCAAGCAAGCAAGCAAACAAACAAACAAACAAACAAACACACAAACAAACAGAGAGACAGACAAACAAACAAACAAACAAACAAACAAACAAACAAACAAACAAACAAACAAACAAACAAACACACAAACAAACAAACAGAGAGACAGACAAACAAACAATCAAACAAGCAAACAACCAAGACAACAAACAAACAAAGCAAATAAAACAAGCTAACCAACAAACAAAACAAAACAAATCAAAACAAGCAAACAAACAAACAACCAACCAAGCAAGCAAGCAAACAAACAAATAAAGCACACAAAACAAGCAAACCAACAAGCAAACACACGGACCAGCAAACAAGCAAACCAGCAAGCAAGAGAGCGAACTAGCAATGAAGATAGAAACACATATACACACAACAAGCTAGCTAAAGAGTGTCCAGAGCAATCGTTCTTTGTGGTGCTCTCACGCAGGCTGACACCGTCAGCTACAATGCGTGCATCTCCGCCTGCGAGAAGTGCCTGGTGGTCAAGAAAGACCCAAGCAGGGTGATTCGATGATTTTGGTATCCCTTTAAACCAACCTGAAACTGGCACCCTCAAGAAAAAACACACACACACACAACCACCAGAGGGCCCGCTAGCCGAAAAGTCAGATTTTTAAAGAACGGGCAAAACCGGGTGGGGGGAACTGCGGTAAGCCATGCATGAAGGTTGAGGTGGGCGCGTTTGTTTTTGAGGGTGTGCCTTTTCGTGGGTTTTTGCAGGGACACCAAAGGGAAAACCACCATGGTGGGTGATGTTCCCCTAAGTTGACAAACCCTGGCAAAGATTCGCCAAGTTTCGATGTCGCCAGAGTCCCCAGTTTTCCGATCGACAGCTTTGGCCGAAGCCAGGGGGCCCTCGCTCTTGAATTCAGATCTCAACCAGGGGTCAGATCCCTCGCTATTTTGGTTCAGTTTCTGGGAGTTATCAAAGTCGGAAAGCTTGGGGTTTTTCGGCGGTGTCCTTTTCACCCAAGCAACTGAACGGGGATGACTGTGATGGCAAAGAGAAAATGGGGCCAGTCAACCCCCAAACCGAAATCCACCCAGCTTACTCCACCCAGGTGCGCAGTGTGGACCTGGGCCGTGGAGCTGCTGTCAGGCGGACAACTTCGGTCATTCGCTCCCAAACGTGACCGGGGAGTGCGCTCCCTCCCCGTCCACAGCTTCAACTTTCAAACTCTTGTTTCCACCAACCTAGCAAAGTAACTTTCAATCACTTGTTGCCACCAACCAAAGTGAGCCACTAAAAGGAGTTACATACCCCCCGACTTGTTCAATCAACGGTTCTACTTGGATGGGTTCCCATGTGGATTTTTCGAGCCCAAAGGCGGTTCCAACAGGAAACCCACGGTGTCTGTGTGCGTGTGTTTGTGTGTGTCTGTGTGTGTGTGTGTGACTATGTGTCATGGGAGGACACCTCGAAAGTGTGAGGCATGGAGCCCGACACTGTCTCCTTTAGCGCTGCAATCAGCGCCTGCGAGAAGGGGCAACAGTGGCTCAGCATCAATTCAGCGCTGGGAGAGAGAGAGAGAGAGAGAGAGAGAGCCGTTTTTTGCCCCGGGTTTTTCATTTGGCTACCGGTTTCTCGGGCCCTTTTTGTGTTTATGTGCATACCTGGCTTTTGCACAGTTGAGTCTAAATCAAGATTGAGAGTGTGGAACTTGAAGTGGTTGATGAGTAGGGCGCCTCAAGCCAGCAACATGCACATCAGGATAAGAACGATTCAGCAGTAGCTAGTTACGTTTGAAAGCAGATGGAAGCAGAGGCTGATGCTGAGAGGAACAATCATTTCACTGTAGAAGCACACTATTGCGGGGAATGCGTATTCGGGGGCCGCAACATACTGTGTGTGGACTCGACATCAGCCCGTTCACACGGAGCCATCCCTAATTTGAAGAGGATGGCTGTGCAGCTTTCACATCAATCAAGACATGCCCATTGTTTCATCAGGCAAGCGGGTAGCAAAGAGGCATTCGTTGGGCATTGTTGACAGGCGGGATATCTTAGACCATGTCCACAAACATGCACAGCTGCCGACCCCACAGAGATCTGTTTCAAAGCGCATTCTTTCAGCTTGGCTCAAGTCGATGCACCAGCATTGACCATGCCATTCGGGCATGCGATACCTTCACTCGGAGAGGGTGTGGGTCGCAGCATGGCAACTCAAGAAGTGAAACCAAACGCGTGCCTTGCCGTAGGCACATACCAAGCAGTCTAAGACATGCGTTCCCGGCGTTTGTGCGGCAAACATGTGGATTTGCCAACCAGTCACCTAGTTTATCGATTGATAGACTCAGAAGTAAGTATGTTGTCGCGGCGCTCAGCGTGTCTCTCAGCTCAGTCTTCCCAGACACCCGAAAGAGAGATTCCTATCACAGGACACCGAGTTCCCTCAAAAGGCTCGCGTTGGCAGCAGCATCTTGCAAACTTGAGGAGAGTCTTGTCTAACTTGCTCAAAACCTAATCCCCAATGATTAGGAGATTGCGGATTGTGTGGTTTACGGAGTAGATCATACGGCTTGCAGACTATGGGTTTCACGGATTCTCGATGCTCCAGCACGAGGTGTTGACCCATAAGTTGCACGCGGATTGCGGATTAAGAAGATCACCAACCGGAACAAGGATTAAGCAGATTGCCCCTGACCTTTCGAACAGGCAAGTTTGTCAGCCTGCGGCATATTCCCTGTGGCGGCTCGTGAGGAGCCGTTGGACCCAACCGGCTTGGCTCTGCCCAGAACCTCGTGGCAAGCTTCAGCCAGGGTGAAACACATGAAGTCAGCGCAGAGGTGGAATCGGCTCAGAAGCCTTGGCAGACACTTCTCACCTTCTGGAATGCTCCTTAGAATGGGTTGAGCTTGAGCCTTAGGAGTGTTTTGAGCAGGGGGATGGCTATCAGGAGCAATAAGTCCTTGAATGGGAAGATTGAGTTGAGCCTTCTACGAAGAACTATTCACGGGGCGCTGCCTCTTTATCCTTTCTTTGGCGAACTGAAGCCCAACTGCCAGGGTCGGATTCACAAGCACGGAAAAAGTCGAAGTGCGCTGAGATCGGATCTGTGCCCCACACTCTGAGTGAGCGCGCTAAATGCACGAGAACGGTCTCCGAAGCTTGCGGTCCTTGCGGACCTCTAACCTGGACCCTGGCAATCGGCGTTTGGATTTCGCGGCCGCCGTCTCCGGATTTCGCCCTTTCGAGTTTCGTGGCTCTCATGCCGGGAACCGTGTTCCGGCCAGCGGCTATGAGTTGAACCGGTCCGCGCCAATGCCGCGATGCGCCGGTTGCCTTTGTCTTGGATCCTGTCCATGGGCGAATCGACAGCTCTGCGATGTCGGAGATGCCGCAAGCAAGCAACTTGAGGGAAAGGTTCCACGCGGCTGAAGTTTCCAGCTGCGCTGACATGTGGGGTCGCTTGGGTTGGACAGCTGATGTTTTTTTGTTTTGCCCCTTCCGTGAAGGCTGCTTGTTGATCCCTTGATGTGGGTCGGCACCATCATGTGCGTAGCATGTTAGATTCCGTTTGTCAGAACACGTTTAGAGCCACCCGGCAAATTGCTATTAGGGAATGGGGTTGCCGGGTTACCCACCCGGAATTCCAGTGTTAGTCGCGGGGGAGCATTGCTCGTGGCTCAATGTGGACGCGAGTAGACCGCTTACACACCACCCAATGATACCATTTCCGGGTATGGTAGGTAAGCCAAGGAACCGCTGAAAGTAAAATTGGCTGGGTTCCCAGAGTGGTACGGTGGATGTCCTAAATATTGCAAGTAAGTTGCTGCAGTGGCTTGGCTTATCACGCGGGAAATTTGCCGTTTCCTAATTGAAATCCTCGGACTTCCTTAACGTTCTTTGACCTTGCTTCCTTTGGTCTGGGTACATAAGTAAACTACAACAACCTCACAAGCGGGGGTTGCAACCTAAGGCAAGTATATAAACGAACCAAAAACCCAGTGTAGTTTCCTTGTTCGCGATTTACAATGTGGGGATCATCAGGGCCGCTTTTCTGTATTTATGTGCACGCCGGTTCGTGCCATGTGTCTGATTTGTTTCAATGCACAACCTTTCAACTTGGCTCAAGCTGACGCAGCAGTATTGACCATCGGGCGCGCTATACCTTCACTGAGGGTGTGGGTCCCACCATGGCAAGTGAAGACGCGAAACCAAACGAGTACCTTTCTTTGCCTTAGGCACGTACCGTTTAGTCCAAGACGTGCTTGCCCGACGCCTGAGCTGTAAATATGTGGATTTGCCAACCAGTCATCTGGTTTATACAATGACAGACTCAGGGGTTTGTATGTTGGCGCTCAGCGGCTCTCTCAGCTCAGGCTTTCAAGCCATTTCGCCCGAAAGAGAGATTCCTATCAAAGATTGCCGAGTTGCCAAGTTTCCCAATGAAGAGGCTCCCGTTGGCAGCAGTTTGCAATGAGACACTTGTCAGCCTGCGGGGGCTCAGCTTATTATCTGTGTCATGACATCATGAGGCGTGTGATGCTGCTTTGACGTGAGCAAAGCATGGAGCCGTTGGACCCAACCGGCTTGGCTCTGCCCAGAACCTCGTGGCAAGCTTCAGCCAGGGTGAAACACATGAAGTCAGCGCAGAGGTGGAATCGGCTCAGAAGCCTTGGCAGACACTTCTCACCTTCTGCAATGCTTCTTAGGAGGAGTTGAGCCCTTCCAAGAAGGGGCACTGCTTGCAGCAGGAGAGGAACAGGTCCTTGAGTTGGAAGATTGAATTGAGCCTACTACGAAGAACGATTCCCGGGGCGGTGCCTCTTTATCTTTTCTTTGGCGAACTGAAGCCCAACTGCCGTCGGAACAAGCCGCCTTCCCGGAGGCCTCGCTGGCTTGATCTCAGGCCGATGCCGTGTCCGTGAGGTTGCGCGCATGCGCGCACGCGCCTGCAAGTACCATAGCCTGCCACCCATTTGTGCCCAAGCGCTGTTGCCGTGGCTGTGACGCGAATGATGGGAGGGGTTGATGGTCAGGCGGAAGTTCATGTTGCTCTTGCGGGAAAATTAAAGCTGTAGTCCATCAGGGGTGAACAAAGGGCGCGGGGCAATGGGCCCGTCCTAATACTGATCTCTCAGAGTGAGCCACATCATTGCCCATCGGAGCGGGCTTCGCACCAAAGACCACTGGTGGGAACACATGCCCAGAACGCTTGCCAAGGCAGCAAACTCTGCTTGCGTCTTGCTTCAGTGAAATCAATATGGCAAGGTCCTGATCAAAGATTCGGGTCAAGCGATCCAAACCTCCGATCCAGACCAAAGCGCAGGTGATCCAGACCGATCCAGACGTCCGGATCACTGCGGAACGATCCATACCTGCTTTTGAGCTGTAGCCATATGCCCGGAACATTGTACCCTTCACGGGAGAACCTGTTGACAACCTGGTCCAGAAACCGGCGTTCCAAAGTCCAGACTCCAGCGCTCGCGCATACTGCTTTTCCACTTTCTGCCACTGTTAGGTGACCATGCTGAGACTGTAGTTCTGCAACATGCCAGGCAAATATTCCTGTCAATCACACCGCAAGACAAATGCACCGCAGTCAAGATGCTCCCTTGCATCATCGGGATGGCCACAAATCGCGCCAAAGGAACGCGCATCGTCCCTTCACGTTGGTGAATGCCCTGATCTCTGACAAAAATGCTTCTGGCGGATGCACCCTTGCTTTCCCATGTTATACATTCGGCTTCTTCCATCTGAGAAAGAGAGCATCACCCAACCGAACATAGCAAACCACATCAGCTCCCACACGTAGTGCTTCTGGAGTGCCACCATGCAGATAGTATCCGCCCCACCACTGGGCGGTCCAGAGCCAACGGGCTTCTGAGAATTAGATACCGAAGACGGGGTGCGCCTTTTGTGCACGGGCATTGTCACCCTTAAATTGGCGGCGCTGCGAGGGAGTGTCCCTAGCAACTAGCAAGGGGAGATGTGTTGGCATCATGAGCAATAGGTCCTGTAATGGGAAGATTAAATTGAGCCTTCTACGAAGAACTGTTCCCTTGGGTAGTGTGCATCGTGTTCTTTTCTTTCGAAGGGGGGGTCCCTCTAAAATCAAACACCGAACAAAGAGCGTCCTTTTTTCCCTCAGCCACTGCAGGTCTGTGATTGTCACAACCTGCGCCAGCGGCTGAAACCTTCTTGCTGGGCATGGCGCCGTGAAATCTGGAGACGAGCGTTAAGCCCCATGAAGGGGCCCAAATTCTGGAAAGGTTCCCTTTTGCAGCGGCATCCTGCGAGACATTGTTGCCTTGACTTGAGCAAAGTGCGCAGCCGTAGCTTGGCTTTGCCCATCTGTGGCAAGTTCTGAACAAGCTCCCTTCAGCAGCATCTTGCAGCTTTGCAACTTTGACCAACTTCTTGCGCCCGCCCCAACGCCCTCTGTACATATAAGTGAAGCTGCGGGCTGTGCAATGAATCTGTTCTAGTGGGGACGGCATGCATCTTGGAGGGCTGAAAGTTCGAGGGCCTTTAAGTTATTTTCGTGGG